AGAACAATTTATTAAGTTTACATTCTGGTGGGGAAAAAAGCTGCAGTTTTATTGATACGTAATAGTTTTATATGTTTTCAGGGTATTTTGGTACATGCATACAATGTGTAATGTTATTAACTTTAGAAATTTTAAAGTAAATAGGCATGTTAAAAATAAAACATAGTCCCTTCTCTACAGAAGCTTATACTATACAGGAATAGGGTAAGTGATGTTGTAAGGCATGCCCAGCGAGCAACAATGCCATCAGGGAAAGAGAGGTGAGATGAGGGCTTTAGGGAAGCCTTCAAAAACATGACGTTGAAGCTCTAGCCTGAGAAATTAGCAGTTTGTTGAAAGAAAGAATGCAATCTAGGCTGTGGGGACTGGCTACACATAAAAGGCATGGACTCTTGGAAGAGGTGGCATATTTTGAGTGGTTCCATGTGGCTGTAATGTGGAATAGGTGTGGGTTATGAGTTAAGAGGATGAAAACGTAGACCAAGAAGAATTGTTACAGAACTATACTGTTGACATTAAGAGCTCTGCACTTCATTTAGTAGGTGGTGGGGCATACTGATACATTTAAAAATAATTTTTTATTGTGGTAATATATATATAACATAAAATTTACCATTTTAACTTTTTCTTTTTTTTTTTTTTTTTAGAGACAGGGTCTTCTTCTGTTGCCCAGGCTGGAGTGCAGTGGCACAATCACGGTTCACTGCAGCCTCAACCTCCTGGGCTCAAGTGATCCTCCCACCTCAGCCTCCCGAATAGCTGGGATGACAGGCATGCAGCACCAAGCCTGGCTGATTTTGTGTTTTTGTAGAGACGGTTTTCACCATGTTGCCCAGGTTGGTCTCAACCTTCTGGGCTCAGGTCATCTGCCCACCTCAGCCTCCCAAACTGCTGGAATTACAGGCATGACTGCGCCCGGCCCATTTTAACCATTTTGAAATATATAATTCAGTAGCAGCCATCATCACTATCTAGCTTCACAACGTTCTCATCATCTCAAACTGAAACTCTATACCCATTAAACATAACACCCCACTGCCACCTACTCCCAGTTCCTGGTATGCCCTATTCTTCTTTTTCTACAAATTTCACTATGCTAAATATTTCACATAAATAGGATTGTACAATGTTGTTTGTGCCCAACTTATTTCATAAAGTCTCCAAGGTTCATCCACGCTGCAGCATGTGTCAAAACTTCCCTCCCTCTTAAGGCTGAGTAACAGCCCACTGTGTGTATTTAACACATTTCGTTTATCCACATATCCATCGATGGACAGAACATTTAAGGCGTATAACCAGGGGGGTAACGTACTCAGGTAACTGCTTTAGAAAGGCAACCCTAGAAGGGGATTAAAGGGTACCACCTGCGAACCGAAAGATGAACCTGCTTCCAGAAAGTGAAAATGGCCAGAGAGGTGAAGAAGTCTAGTAAAAGGAGCTCAGAAATGTCTCTAGATCTGGGAAAAGCAGTTGTAGTGTAGCAGTGGATAGGAAACACTGAAGACGAGTTAACCTGGTTAGCATGCTCAGAAACACCTATCTGTACGGCAAGACCCTTCCCATGCTACAGTACATTTTGAACATTTGGCACCTATGTTTAAGATGAAGAGGTTGAAGACAGCAAATTGACAAACTATGTTAGCCTCTTCCCAAATACAAAATACACTGAGAGAGATGGTAAAAACAATTTTCTTTTTTTCTTTTTTTTGAGACGGAGTTTCGCTCTTGTTACCCAGGCTCGAGTGCAATGGCGCGATCTCGGCTCACCACAACCTCCGCCTCCTGGGTTCAGGCAATTCTCCTGCCTCAGCCTCCTGAGTAGCTGGGACTACAGGCACACGCCACCATGCCCAGCTAATTTTTTGTATTTTTAGTAGAGACGGGGTTTCACCATGTTGACCAGGATGGTCTCGATCTCTTGACCTCGTGATCCACCCGCCTCGGCCTCCCAAAGTGCTGTGATTATAGGTGTGAGCCACCGCACCCGGCCAACAGTTTTCTTGAAAATGAGACACCTGAGGCCTGGTATGGTGGCTCATGCCTGTAATTCCAGCACTTTGGAAGGCGGAGATGAGCAGATCACTTGAGGCCAGGAGTTTGAAACCAGCCGGGGCAACATGGGACCTTGGGGACCTTGTCTCTACAAAAAATATAAAAATTAGTTGGGCTTGGTCATATGTGCTTCCAGTCTAGCCTTCCAGTGACCAGGAGGCTGAGATGAGAGGATCACTTACGCCTGGGAGGCAGAGGCTGCAGTGAGCCAAGATGGCGCCACTGTACTTCAGCCTGGATGACAGAGCAAGATTCTATCTCAAAAAAAGGAAGAAAGGAAGGGAGGGAGGGAGGGAGAAAGGGAGAGAGGGAGGGAGGGAGGGAGGAAGGGAAGGAGGAAGGAAAAGAAAGAAAAGAGAGGGAGGGAAAGAAAGAAAGAGAAAGAAAGAAGAGAGAAAGAGGCCGGGTGCGGTGGCTCAAGCCTGTATGTAATCCAGCACTTTGGGAGGCCGAGGCGGGTGGATCACGAGGTCAAGAGATTGAGACCATCCTGGTCAACATGGTGAAACCCCATCTCTACTAAAAATACAAAAAATTAGCTGGGCACGGTGGCGCGTGCCTGTAATCCCAGCTACTCAGGAGGCTGAGGCAGGAGAATTGCCTGAACCCAGGAGGCGGAGGTTGCGGTGAGCCGAGATTGCGCCATTGCACTCCAGCCTGGGTAACAAGAGTGAAACCCTGTCTCAAAAAAAAAAAAAAAAAAAAAAAAAATTACCTATACTATTCGAGTAATGGGTGCACCAGAAGGTCAGACTTTGACACTACATAATATATCCACATAACAAAACTGCACTTTACCCTCTAAATCTATAAAACAATTAGAAAACAAATAGACAAAAAACCTACCAATTATTACAGGCCTACTAAAGCAAAGCTCCTTCGTTGGGGTGTTAAATTACCAGAATATTAAACTGCCATGATTCTATGATTTTGATTATTACATTTGTTATTGCTGCTGTTACAGAGATGCTGTAAAAGAAGTACACGTTTTATAATGATCTGATGTCACCTATCAGAACAAGCTTTGGACATGTCAAACTAAATCAATTTTTAGGACCAAATTATTTTTAAGGTATGAAAAATATTTCCTGAAAAAGAAAACATCTCAAAAATAACTTTTATTGAAGCATTACTATTAAAACATGCCAATGAGCAAAGATCTCGTAAACATATTATTGTATTTAATTTCGTTAAGTAGATTCCATTATTATCTCTGTTTCACCGGTGAGGAAACTCAGGCTTAAAGGGTTTAGAGAATTTGCCAAATGTGATACAGCCACTAAGTGGCCCACGCCCAACCCACACCCTCTCAGCTAGCGTCTGTAGCACTCTGCTCTAGAAACAGGCATGCCCGGCTCTACATAGAGCAGGCTCTCAGTAACACAGTTTCATTCAACGTTGGTGACAAAAAAATTCCTGGCCAGGGCCACTGTCTATGTGGAGTCTGCTCATTCTCCCCACGTCTGCGTGGGTTTTCTCTGGGCTTCGGATTGCTCCACATCCCAAAGCTGTGCATATGTCTACATGGTCCCCATCTGAGTGAGTGGGTATGTCTGTGAAAGTGCACGCTGTGATGGGTTGGCTTCCTGGACAGGGGACAGGGTGGGTTTCCACCCTGAGCTGCCCAGAGAGACTCTGGCTACCGATGATCTTCAATTGTAGTAATTGGGTAAATAATTACCTTGCTTTTATTAATCCTTCTTAACTGTATGTATAGCTCCATTTATTTCTATGTTTAATATTAGAAGTGTTTTGGTCTTTACTTAGAAGTTTAGTGATCTTTTTTGTGACCAGAAATATGCTGTAGGAACTTAACTCCTGTTTATATCAATTAGCCTATGGTAAACTGGTCGTGTTTAAAGGTTCACAGTTCCCGAGAACCTATCAACAACGTTAAGTGAGAACTTACTATATTTATTTAAAGAGAATGCTTCCTATCTGTTGGCTAGGGGGGAAAAAAGTCAAGATAATTTAACAGTAAATCTATTCTATTAATACATTACCAAAGCTCTCTTTTGACTATTTTTAATTCATAAAGATTTTGGTTGAATTATTTTCATTATTCTGGAACAAAAATTAGGTTCTTGCCTTGGTATTTTACCTTACCTGTAGGACATTACCTGTAGTTCTAAAGAGTCCTTATGTAATATGTTAACATTTCCCTTTTTCAAATTACAGAGTAATTCAGCCTTCTCTTTGACTCCTATGTCTATAACTGAATCGATATCTACAGTTTTCTTTATATAAGTTAAAAATAATATTTTAAAAAGCACAAAATACAAGTTTACATTTGGCATAACTTGAGTAATCTCCATGATTGTGGTCTTCTTATAATAAACAAATTAAGCATCTGTAAAGTGAGCATGTATTTCAGGAACAAAGAAATGAATAACTAACATTTACTTCCAAAATTCTTTTGTGTAGGGGGGCCATTGTCTACAATTGATTTTTTCTGTTATTATCAAAAACAACCTTCAACTTTTCTATTCAAGCACTGAAAAAAATACTAACATTTAACCCACAAACGAAGATGTTTCAGATGAACAAATCAGCAATAAAAGTGTACATGAGGAGGTATATCGTATTTTTCCTCCTTGTATATTATTAGGATAAATGACCTTAAGATGATAACTCTCAAAATTTCAGGTTTATCCTCCTGGTCAATTTGTGACATTCCCTGGAGGGAATTCAAAGGAAAGAAAAAACAGGTTTTAAGCTTCAGGGTATGGTAAGGAACAGAGACAAAATGCATTTAGCAAATAATAGGAAAGATCACATAAATAGCTCTGAACGAAGATTTAGAGTTTCCGCTCTAAAAAATGAGATTCATGAGGTTGGGAAAAGACACTCAAATTTCCCCGGCCCCACCCTACTAGTAAACAATCCGTGCAGCAATCAAAAAATGCCCTTTCCTGAATGAACGCCCAGAAGAATCTTAAGAAACTCACCTTCTGAACTCAGGGTGTCTCGATTCTATTTTTATTGGGTATAACCTGCCTACTGGCTGCCCTCCTTTCCTATTTCTCGGCCAGCCAGGCTGGAAAGTAGACGCTGTACCTGGGGTCACTGCTGGCGACACTGAAGCTCGCCCCATTTGGTGCTGCTGGCCCTGAGCATCACTCGCCGTCCCACTTGTTCCTCCTCGTCTTCATCGCAGGTCTTACACACACACACAGGTTCACACTCTCGCGGGCGCACCTGCTGTTACAGGTACAGCTCCACCCCAGCAAAACCTTCGCTTTCTCTTCCCCGGGACTCGGCCCCAGAGGAGCGACTCTGGACCAAGCCCAAGACAGGATGAAGCTACTGCTGCGCTCTCACCTCCGGCAGTAACAGCGATCGCCGCCGCGGCTCCACGCAAGCCAGCCAGGTCCGCCGGGGGCGGCGCAGGTGGAGCCAGGTTGCACCCTGGGGATCCCCGCCCACCGCCCGCGGCAGCTTCTGCAGGATCGTGGAAGCGCGCGCCGGTGATTCAGCGCCTTTCCGTCGCCGCGGTTACCACGGCGACGCGCGCGCACGCGCACACACGCCCCCACGGATGGGGGCGCGGCAGCCGCCCATGCCCAGCTCCCCGCGTGCGCTCTAAGGACCCGCACCCGGGCGACACCCTCCCACCCCGTAGGGGACCAAGCAAAAGGTTTTCGGGAATCTGAGGGGCCTTCTTAGCCTACACCTCCTTTCCTTCGCCAAACCCTTCCCTGTCACCGTGGCCCCAAATGGTCTAGGGTGAACACTCCCTCCAAATAAACACCCGAGCCAGGGTGGCTCAGGAGAGCCATGGGCGCACTGCCTGGGTCAAAGACCTTTCGTGAATTTGTCCCTGAAGAAATGTCACCCCAGCTACGTAAGTCCTACTCTTCCAGTGGGAGTCTCTTTGGGCCCTACTCGTAATTACCGTTCTATTTTGAGCACGTGCTTTCTGACTGAGAAGGGGAACCTGTGCTGGGTGGGGCCCACATCACCCCCAAGCCTTGCAGGCTAACTGGGTGCCCAGAATAGTTTGACACTGGCATCTTGAGGAAGGTGACCATCTAAACCACAGAAAACTTGTGTGGAAGACGGCATTTTTACGGTTTTTAATAAAGATGCAAAAGCATCTAGAGATAACATGAGCAGAAAAGGAAGCCAGTGCATTCTTTGCACATCCCATTACTATGAAGTGTAGCGCAGTGCTTAGGAATGAGTCACACACACACTTGATAGATAAGCTCCTTCTAGACTACTACCATTTACCAAAGTGTCTTAGACAAGTTACATAATCTTGATAAACCTGCTTCCACAATTATAAAATGAAGATAATAGCATTCACATAGGATGATTCTGGGGCTCCAATAAGAGAACCCACATTTAAAGAGTAAAAACCTGTCCAGGACTGAAAGAGTGAAAATCAGCTTGGACTTAGAAAAGGTAGGACTGTCAATCAGGCTGGGAGGACAAAGTCAGGAGGAGAAGCAAAATTAACAGGGAGTATCGTTTCTTCTGAAATCATGCAGCAGCGACGAAATGACAACTCCCTGTTTGAATGACTCCTGCTTTCTGCCTTTGCTTTACTATTCCGGTCCATAACCGGGGACACCCAGTTGCTAAACTCCCTTCACTTCCCGCCAGCACCCAATCCCTCATTAATCTCAGTTTCTCTCAATCTGCCTCAGAAACAGCAACCAACTGGATCCCAGCCCTGATTCCAAGACTCTCCCTGGAATCCTTTTAAGAGGAACCCAAACCTTACAAAAGACACTTCCTCCTTTCTCTGCTCACTTGGCATTCCACAGGTACTCTCTCAATGCATCCAGTCAATGAATCTGATTTTGTCCCCAGTGATCCTTGGCTGATTAAGCCTTTGAAGAAATATACTTTTAACACATACAAACATGGGTTTAGCTCAGAATGTTTAAATACCATCTTTTAAACTCAGAGACACTATAATGAATATCTATTTTCATTTTTAACGAATACATCAGTTTGGTATTGTATGAAAGTGTTACTCTCCATCTCCAAGACACAGATGTGAAGCCACTCACTACATTTCACTTGCTTTAAGCATTCAGTGGACATCCACTGAGCCCCTGCTATATGCCAGACACTGCAACAGGTGGTAAGAATAAAATCATGTATCTTAGTATAATTGTTTTTACTTTGTGTGCTCGTTTATGGTTTTGATTGAGACATTTGTACAATAAAAGACAAGAAACTTATTTTGAAGGTGGGAAAAACTGAGGTTTAGCAAGGTTAAAGTACATTCCACATCAGTGGTAAAAATGATGCTTAGCGTGATGAGTGTTGCCTCATTGAAATAGAAGATTCTAGGCCGGGTGCAGTGGCTTACACCTATAATCCCAGCACTTTGTGGGCCGAGGCAGGAGGATTTTGTGAGTCCAGGAGTTCGAGAGCAGCCTGGGCAACATAGCAAGATCCTCTCTCCACAAAAAAATTAAAACTAGCTGGGTGTGTGGTGCACACCTGTAATCCCAGCTACCCAAGAGGCTGAGATGAGAGGATCACTTGTGCCCAGAAAGTTGAGACTGAAAAAAAAGGAAGATTCTAGGTTCGAATTTCACTAAGCAGGAAGGTAAGGTGAGCAAAGCTACCACACTGGAAAAAGTTTGAAAAGTTCCAAGTAAAAAACTCAAGAGACAGCAGATTAGTAGGTTAATGCAGTGAGAACTATGGCTCATAGAAGCAGAATAAAAGTGGTTTCTGCATGTTTCACTTACAACTCGTTTTTAGATTTTGTCATAAGCAGTGTAACAAGAGGGTATTTCATGTAGATGCTGTGAGTTATATAAAAGAAATAATACTTTCATAGCTTTAAAACAATTTGACGATCCTTTAATTAATTTTTGAGTTGGTGTTCCGCTCTTCCCGTACAGGCTAGAGTGCAATGGCAGGATCTTGGCTCACTGCTATCTCCACCTCCCAGGTTCAAGCAATTCTCCTGCCTCAGCCTCTTCAGCAGCTGGGATTCCAGGTGCCTGCCATAACTCCTGGCTAATATTTGTATTTTCAGTAGAGACGGGGTTTCACCATGTTGGCTAGGCTAGTCTCTAATTCCCAACCTCAGGTGATCCACCTGCCTTGACCTCCCAAAGTGCTAGGACTGCTGGTGTGACCCACTACACCCGGCTGATAATCTTTTGTATAATCTAATATACTACATTGGATTTTTTAAAGAATTTAAACTTTTGGCAGCGCACAGTGGCTCATGTCTGTAATCCCAGCACTTTGGGAGGCTGAGGCAGGTGGATCACAAGGTCAGGAGATCAAGACCAGCCTAACCAACATGGTGAAACCCCCGTCTCTACTAAAAACACAAAAATTAGCTGGGCATGGTGGCAGCACATGCCTGTAATCATAGCTACTTGGGAGGCTGAGGCAGAAGAATCCCTTGATCCCAAGAGGTGGAGGTTGTGGTGAGCCGAGAGTGTGCCATTGCACTCCAGCCTCAGCGACAGAGTGAGACTCTGTCTCAAAAGAGAAAAAAAAGAATTTGGACTTTCAACCGACTATTTTTTGCAATGTGATTTGAAGTTAACCCTTTCAAATGAAATTTTATGCCAGAACAATCCGTTTCCCATAGAAATGAACTACTATATTACCTCTATGATGTATGCTACTCAACTATGAACATCTGTTCTCATTTTTTATTTTTAACCGTTAAAATTATGATTAATGTTTAAACTCTTTCTCTTTGTCACTGCAAAGGGAATATTACACAAACGTCTTTCTTTAGGTGTTTACATTTCAGCACTCCTGATATAAACAAGGTTCGGCTACATCTATTTATTCTCCCTGCTTTCTTTTTTTCAAACACAAGAATTCTTGGTAATTCTTGGTGGAATGAGAAGAAAATGGAAATCTGTTTTCTTCCACACAAAGAGGAAGAACCAGAAGCAATTAGCAGGTAAATATTTCATCTCATCATGGACACAAAAACATACTAAACCAAACTATAAACAAATAAAATTCTTTATTTAAATTTCTCTTGTGGGGAAAATACTTTTCTTGAAAGCACACTTAAAAGTAATTTGCATTTACTTCCTGTAAAACATTTCCATTTTACAATTAGCCACACTAAAAGGCTATATCTCTTTATGCATTTATTTTTCTGTTAGAAAAATGTTCCGTGGTGCTATCGAACTGATTTTAACCATCACCAAGCCTAACTTTGCCTCCGATGGCAACATGACTAGAAACATGAATCAGGAAGTATTAAGGGATTTTAAGCCATACGTTTCAATTATAGCTTGCCAATTATGTAGTTAGCTAACAAAAAATCAGGTCTGATGTAGAATAGCTGTCATCTACTTAACTGCAGACTATCATAGCTTTTTCATTTAAGATGATCCAACTTATGAAATAAAGGATCCAGTCCCAAGAACTCAATAATACCTTATGTTTTCTTTTGAAGACGTATTTTAAATATTAACAATGTCAGTGCCTGGATGGAAAAATATCAACATTAGCCCAGAGACAATGTGGTCCTTGTTTGGAATCTAGCTGGCAGCTACAAGCACTGTTAAAAATTCTAACAGGCTCTGTGCTCTTATTTATTAAATGACCTCACATCCTGAACACAGGAATGCATTCATTTAAATAAACATTAATCTTTAACGTTGAATTCTGAAAACACAAACACAAATCATAGTTGGTTGTTCTACGACAATGATCTAGTACATTATTTCCTCCACAGTAAACCTACCTTTCCAGAAGGTGGAACTGTATCTGCAAAAATCACATTTGAAAAGCATTTTACAGTATTATATCTAAGTTGCACAGAAGACCCCAGTGATCACTAGGAAATCTACCACAGTCCAGTTTTTCCAATCCAAGAAGGTCCAAACTTCGGGGAATAATGTGTCCCTCTTCTGCTGCTGCTCTGAAAAATATTCGGTCAAAACGAAGCTTACAAGCAGCAGTTATTCCAAGATTAGAGTTCATCTGTGTATCCCATGTATACTGGCAATGTTTAGGTTTGCCCAACAACTCCCAGACATCCACGATGTTGCTGGGTAAACCACCACATTTGGTAACCTGAAAAGAAAAAGAATATTCTTACAATATACATAGCCTTTTCCTCACTACTTAAAAAAAAAAACAAAAAAAGGTGTTTTTGCTATTATTTGCTATACCGTGTCTGAGTGCAATATTCAAACCCGAATCTCAGAAATTATTAATGCGCAAATGAAAAATAACTAGATACATTATAAAAAGTATTATGCTGCATGGTAGTAAGAAGGTAATATAAAAGTATCAAGACAGCCGGAGAGGCCAGGGAGGTTTGGAATTTGCCCCTTCTCTTCTGCTATAAGTAGCTTCCTAACTTTGGGTGTCAGATAAAACTTAGAAGCCTGAACATACATGGCCTGTTACTGCTGTTATTTGTTTTTAAAAACTGAAGTCAAGTAAAAATAAGGCAAAACTGCCACTCCGCTTCAGTCTACAACTTTAGAGGTGGAGCATTTATATGATCTGATAACATCAACTGACTTCAGCTTTATTGGAAGTTTATTAATAATATTAATTCTCTGTTCACTCATTCACACTCCAGGATTTTTTTAAAAAAATGTGTATGGTAACATATACAGAATATAAGATTTATCGTTTTAGCAAAATAAGAAACTTTTTTTTGAGATGGATTCTCACTCTGTTGCCCAGTGGAGTTCAGTGGTGCAATCTCAGTTCACTACAGCTTCTGGCTCCCAGGTTCAAGCAATTCTAGTGCCTCAGCCTCCTGCCGAGCTGGGATTATAGGCATGTGCCACCATGCCCGGCTAATTTCTGTATTTTTAGTAGAGATGGGGTTTCACCGTGTTGGCCAGGCTGGTCTCAAACTCCTGGCCTCAAGTGATCTTCCCACCTCGGCCTCCTAAAGTGCTGGGATTACAGGTGTGAGCCACCATGCCTAGCCATTTTAACAATTTTTAAGTGTACAGTGATATAGCATTAAGTACATGTACATACTTATGCAACCGTGACCATCATCTATCTCCAGAACCTTTTCATCTTCCCCAACTGAAACTCTGTACCCATTAAACACTAATGCACCATTCCCATATTCCCTAGTCCCTGACAGACACCATCCTAATTTCTGTCTCTATAAATGTGACCAGTTTTGGATATTCATGTAAGAGGAATTTCTGGACTGACTTCATTCACTCAGCATAATGTCTATAAGATTTACCCATGGCCGGGCGTGGTGGCTCAGGCCTGTAATCCCAGCACTTTGGGAGGCTGAGGCGGGCAGATCACAAGGTCAAGAGACTGAGACCATCCTGGCCAACATGGTGAAATGCCGTCTCTACTGAAAGCACAAAAAATTAGCCGGGCGTGGTGGTGCATGCCTGTAGTCCCAGCTACTTGGGAGGCTAAGGCAGGAGAATTGCTTGAAACCAGAAAACGAAGTTGCAGTGAGCCAGGATCGCGCCACTGAACTTCAGCCTGGCAATAGAGGGAGACTCTGTCTTAAAAAAAAAAAAAAAAGATTCACCCATATTGTAGCATGTGTCAAAGTTTCTTCCTTTTTAAGTCTGAATAATATTTCACTGTATGCATACAGTACAGTTTGTTTATTCATCTGTCAATGATACTTGGGCTGCTCCCACCTTTTAGCTATTGTGAAGAACACGGCTGTGAACATGCACGGGTACACAAATATCTGTTCAAATACCTGTTTTCACTTCTTGTGGGTACATACACCTAGAAGTGTAATTGATGTAACACACAGTAATTCTATGTCTAATTTTTTAAGGTCCTGAAAAATTCCACTGTGTCTCAACTTAACTACAGGCAGAGAGAAAAAGACTTTGTTTCACATCTGGAGATCTGGGCATGGTGGTGGCAGGGAAAGTGTGTAAAAAAGGCTAATAGGCCAAGAAAGAAAAGGAAACCTCACAAAAAGAGAGTTACGGACAATCATCACGGTCAAATCTTTCTGTTATTCTCATCATGCAACTAGGAATACTGCAAAGAAACAACCACACTCTTCTAAAATAATTTTCTCTTTCTTTCTTATTGTGTGTGTGTGTGTGTGTGTTGTTTTGCGTTGTCTATTTCTCATGCACGTTTTTATTTTTCTCCAAAAAGAGCCCCTTCTACCTCTAGGCATACAGCATAGGCTAAACAAGTATTTGCTGAACTGCAAGGTCACTTAAGACATTTTGAGTGACTGAAGGTCCTAGTTTTAACAGCTTTAGTCAAAGGAGCCTAAATTAGTTTCCATAGCAATAATCTGTCCTCAAACATCGAACTGAATTTGTACTCACCTCTTGATCCCTTAGATTTGTATCTCCTGCAAATATAACTGTTGCTGACTCTGGAGCCTCTTGCATTTTCTTTAAAACTATTTTTAACTGATTCATTCGTTCCTTAGCATGCCCTTTGGTGCTCTCCAAATGGGATGTCATAAGACAAAGCTCATTTCCTGACACATTCACCTGCAACAGGACAAATAACTAGTTATTAAAATTGTCCACTGACTATTAATACTGACCTTGGAAAACAAAATCAGCAGACTCATCTACCAATTGGTATATATTTACTAACTGGAACTGTGTAATCAGCACTGTGTCTATCCCTCTGGATCAAAAGAAGTATTAAAGTACTCACCCTGCCCCAAAAGAAGACTGTTCAGCAAGTACAACCTACCCCCACACGTCACCTCCACTGTGAACCTTTCCCCAGCATCCCCAGGCCTTTTCCCACGGTCCCCAATGGTTCCCTCCTCAATACACCTACAGCATGCTGAATAGACTGTTTTAAAGCCCCTTAGACTAAATTAAAAGGATAATTATTTCCCTCCCACAAAGCCCTAAGTCATTTGCAAAGCAGAGATGATGCTTATTTATTGCTGTATTATTAAGGGCCTGGCTGGCATACAGGTATTCCAAAAGTCAGTTAATTGAATGAATGAGAATCATTTACCATTTGCGATTAAGACACGAACAACGTACAATCTGTCATGATACTAACTGCCTGCAGAATCAAGTCTAATCTTTCATATTGGTCATTCAAGCTCTTCTATAATCTGGAGCCTAACACCTACTTCTCAACCTGTCACACTTCCCTCTCCATGGCCCCTACACCCAACTGAATACAATGTTCACTCATACTCGTACACGTACACCTCTCGCAACTTGCCAGAGTTTGCCAATGGTGGTTTCTCTACCTGGACTCTTCTTAATGTCTATGTTCACACATTTTTCAGGGTTCAATTCAAATACCATCACCTCTATGAAACCCTCACTAAACAATCTGGCTAAAAGTCATCTCTCCCTTCTCTAAACGTCCACACATCATTTATGTGTTTCCTTTGTTTTAGTTACTATATATATACTCTCCCTTACTAATCTATAAACTATATGAGAGCAAGACCTATTTTTCATTTTTTAAGTGTCATAGAATACAATATAGTAGCATGTACAGAGTAGAAAGTAAAAACATTACTTTAGGAAGCAAATGTGGAATGTTAGCAAACTCTCAAATATTCTTTTTTTTTGTTTTTTTGTGACAGAGTCTTGCTCTGTCACCCAGGCCGGAGTGCGGTGGCGTGATCTTGGCTTACTGCAACCTCCACCTCCCAGGTTCAAGTGATTCTTCTGCTTCAGCCTCCCAAGTGGCTGGGACGACAGCCGTGCCACTACTCCCAGCTAATTTTTGTATTTTTTAGTAGAGACTGGGTTTCACCATATTGGCTAGGCTGGTCTTGAACTCCTGACCTCGTGATCCACCCTCCTCGGCCTCCCAAAGTGCTGGGATTACAGGTGTGAGCCATTGCACCCGGCCCAAACTCTCAAATATTGTTAAGAAAACAACAGATTCATAATTCTAAGTCTATTTGCATTTAAAATTAGATGTAAAAACTTAATTTTAGAAAGTTTTTAAGACTCAAAGAATCTACATACGTGGAGCAAATTTTTCTCTACAGGCAATGATTTAAAAAATACCACCACAAAACTATGAGAAAGTCTATTCCTTTTTTTATAAAACACTCAATTTTTAAAAATTACTCACATGCACACACAAAAGGTTTCTCATCATGTTGGTACTTGGAAAAGGAATAATCTCTTGGCTTTTTAATTTCACTCTTGATTTCTTCAACATTATAGCTGTGAAATATCCTTCTTCATGACCTACAAATGTTTGTGGATAAGAATTTAGGCTGAGAAGGTCAAGGGTATTTTCAGTTTACCACAAGTTTGCCTACTGAAGATTTTTATAACAAACAGGTAACAGACATTTACATTGATCTAAATCTTTGAAGTAAACTATTACTTCAAAATAGTCCATCACGGCCAAACAAGTCTACCTCCTCCCTCCCAAATTTTAACTAAAAGCTTAGAAGAAATTTAAAAAATAACAGCACGCAAGTGCCAAAAAATAATTAACGCTGCCAGTATCAGATGAGAAAACTTGAGAAATTTCTCAAAGACACAGAATAGATGAGACAAACTGTGGCCAACTGATACACTTACTACTTAGAAGTTCCAGAAAAATTATAGTAAATGAATAAAAATATACAAAGATATAAACCAACAAGAACAGAAAATAGGATGAGGTGCCATGACCGAAAGCTTCCAATAATTTTTCAGAAAACAGATGGAGACATGGTAACTGGTTTATCCAAACAGAGGGAAACCACCCGAGTGACTGTAGCAGAGACCCACAGACAGCAAGCAGATCTGCTCCACCAAAATCTGCAAACACTTAGTACTGAACACAAAGGTACCACAAAGGTAAGGTGCTGAGCTAAGAGGAGGGCCAGTTCAAAGTCTGGATATGGGGTAAAAAAACTCCCAGGTTTCCTCTACTCCTCAAAGCTAAGTGACTGCCCCTCTATTAACAGGAAACTACGGTTTTAAAGAGAAACTAAATTGTAGAGGCTCCAGAGTCACGAGGCACAGGGAGGGGCATGTGTGTTAACGCAGGGCTCATGGGGAATGAGGTGAACAGGGATTAAGTAAAGCGTGCCTGCTCAGCTTCCTTCCCCTGACCTGCTTCCCGAAGGTAGGCAAAACAAGCACACCACCCCAGCCCCAACACCCAGAAGGCAGAAAGCTAAATAATTCTGTTTTTGAAAAACAAAATGGCCTCAGATTAAAGGCCTGTATATACCAACACACTGACAATTGTGCGTCTCCCTCAAATAAGCAGTTTGCTCCACAATTAATCCCTCACTCCTTTCCAATAAGGTATACTACCTTAGCCTAGTTCAGGCATACTAAGCTGTAATCAACATTTTAGTGTCTGGTGTTTAAATGTGAACCAAAAGCCAGGGATCCCTATATATTTAAGGAACAGGTCTAACATGACATGATGGATACTGACCTGACATGACATCATCAAAACAAACAGAAAGAATATAAAAACAATGCAGGTAAAGAGATTAACACCTAAAACAAATGAAAAACTAACAAAAAAGATAATGTATCCATAAACCAAAAACAGTATGGCCATAAAGAAGGTATTCAGTGAACAGGAGGCCTAGAAAATTAAAATAGTGGTATCTGTACGTCAAGATAATTGCCAAGAAACTAGAACAGGTCAACTGAGACAGGAAAATGAGAAAAAGTTAAGAAAATTCAAGGATCAACCCAGGAGGTCCACCGTTTAACAGGAGTTCAGAAAAAGAGGAAGGGTAAAAAATTTTAAGGGAGGGAAGAAGAGAGAGGGAGAAAAGGAAAGAGAAATAATGAAAAAAATGAAAGGAGAGGCGAGGGGAGGGGTGGGATGGAGGGAGAGAGAACAGGATTTTCCACAACTAAGGTATTCCACATACCCAGATTTAAAGTTCCCACCAAGCATTCAGCACAGTAAATTTTAGAAAGACCCAAAGAACATGAGGGTTAAAAACAAGACCCTCAAAGCTTCCACAGAACAGGGAAAAAGAAAAGATTAAGAATTAGAATGGCATCAGCCTTACCATCATCATCAATAATGGAAAGTAGAAGACACTGAAGAATGCCTTAGAATTCTGAAGGAAAGCATCTATTTACCCAGATATCTATCTTCAGTCAAACTATCAAGAACTACAACGCTACAACACAGGCATCTTCTATGCTGGGATTCAAAAACTTCACTAACCATGCACTACTACTTCTTAGAAAGCAGTAAGAGAAGGTGTTCCAATAAAATTAGTAAGTAAACCAAGAAGGAAGCATGAAAATCAGAAATCCTAAAAGAATCCCCAAGAGAATAGAGAAAAGTTTCATAAAGAGACACACACAGACTGAGAGAGAAGTCTCTCCTTAGCAATTCTCGATTAAGGAGTCAACTGAAATTAAAAATCACATACTATATAAAAATGAAAGTCAGAGAAAACACTACACGGTTGACCCCTGAAAAACACAGGTTTGAACTTCAAGGGTCCTTTACACAGATATTTTTTCAATAAATAGAGTTGGTCCTCTGTATCTGGGGGTTCTGCATCCACAACCAAATGTGGGTTGAAAATACAGTCTTCCCAGACGCGAAACCTGCAGATATGGAGTGCTCACTTTTCACACAGGTGGGTTCTGCAGGGCAGGCTGAGGAACCTGAGTGTGTGAATTCTGGTATCCACTGAGGAACCCTAGAACCAATCCCGGGGACACCAAGGAGAAACTGTATATGAAAATCACGCGATGTGGCCAAAGGAGTATTTTAAATATATTTAGCAAAAAAAAAAAAAGATGGGAAATTTAAAAACTAAATTACTCAGGGCAAAAAAAGTCAAAAAGAACAACAAAATGAATTATAAAATAAAGATTTTTTTAAAAAGCATAACCACAATGTAATTATTCCACTTAAAACTTCTGACGGCCAGGCACGGTGGCTCACGCCTATAATCCCAGCACTTTGGGAGGCCGAGGCGGGTGGATCACAAGGTCAAGAGATCGAGACCATCCTGGTCAACGAGGTGAAACCCCATCTCTACTAAAATACAAAAATTAGCTGGGCGTGGTGGCATGCGCCTATAGTCCCAGCTACTCGGGAGGTTGAGGCAGAAGAATTGCTTGAACCCAGAAGGCGGAGGTTGCAGCGAGCCGAGATTGTGCCATTGCACTCCAGTACGGGTAACAACAGCGAAACTCCATCTCAAAAAAAACCAAAAAAACAAAAAAAAAAAAACAACTTTTAACAACTGATTTTCACCAAAAGTATTCAGTTTCGCAAATTTTAGTAATTTATATTTTCATCCATTTCAACCACCTTTTCACACTTATTAAGCTGTATGAAATATTCTCCTATACTTCTTGTAGTATCCTGTGTCTTGCTTAGTTTTCTCAAACTTATTTATTTGTGCTTTTTCTTCTCTATGTTCCAATAGACTAACTTTGATTTATCTTTCACTAATCTGTTTTTCAAAGAAAAGTTAAACAACAAAAATTGTTACCTGTAATAATCTCATAATTTTTTGCTCTCTTCTTTAGGTAGCTACAATATGGGGGAATAACTTCCTGTAGGAAGACCACATCTGGGCTGTACCTAATGAAAAACATCAATTTAGGACAAAGACCAAGTATACCGGTTCATTTTCAGCTACCCAAATGAAGGGAATTCCACAACATACCAGAAACAAAAAACTACTATTCTCTAGGGCACCTAATATTGAGTGTTTATGCTGATCTTTGATAATTATAAAATGAGAAAGATCTGTGCTTTTTCTTTTCTTTTTTTTTTTTTTTGAGACAGAGTCTAACTCTGTTGCCCAGGCAGGAGGGTAGTGGCGCAATTTCAGCTCATTGCAACCTCTGTCTCCCGGGTTCAAGTGCTTCTCCTGCCTCAGCCTCCTGAGTATCTCAGACTACAGGCACACGCCACCACACCCAACTCATTTTTTTTTTTTTTTAGTAGAGACGGGGTTTTACAATGTTGGTCAGGATGGTGTCAATCTCTTAACCTTGTGATTCGCCCGCCTCGGCCTCCCAAAGTGCTGGGATCACAGAGGTGAGCCACCGCACCCAGCCCTGTGCTATTAATGTAATACTATAAGAAACTTATTTTTAAAAACTAGAATAACTGACAATAGAAACCACTATATTGAGAGACTGCAATGGTCCTACACACTAATAGATGCTTTCAACGTTTCTTTCAATCTTCTTGAAGCAATTATGATCTACAATGAAGAAAACTGACCACCAGAGAACTTAAGTGATTTGCCCAAGGTCACAGAGCCAGTATGGGGGCACAAACAGAATCTTTTTGGTAGTTTTAATTTCTCAGTTATTATAAACAAAGTTTAAGAAGAAAACAGCACTAAAAGGCTTCTAACAAAAATGAGTGTTCCCGCCTTGCTGCAGCCTGCACTACTGCTCTGTCAGAGGCAATCACCTCAATTCTTTCAGATATTTCTTCTCAGAGCTGGACGTTGAACTTAGGTGTTTTTTTTTTTTTTTTTTTTGAGGTGGAGCCTTGCTCTGTCACCAGGCTAGAGTGCAGTGGAATGATCTCGAGTCACTGAAACTTCCGCCTTCCAGGTTCAAGCAATTCTCCTGCCTTAGCCTCCTGAGTAGCTGGCGTTAAAGGTGTGTGCCACCATGCCTGGCTAATTTTTGTATTTTTTTTTTTAGTACAGACAGGGTTTCACCATGTTGGCCAGGATAGAATTTATCTCCTGACCTTGTCATCCACCCACCTTGGCCTCCCAAAGTGCTGATTACAGGCTGAGCCACCACGCCAGGCCGAAGTTAGGTTTAACTCTAAAGCTCATATTACTTTGTATATATGTAAGACACATTACTATTAAAGAGAAGTGGTAATACTTACAAAACTAAATAGGAACACACCCCTCGAGCCCTCTCTGCCAGATTGTTTAGATCTAATCCATCAACATTCCAGGTCATGAGAGAGAACATGCTGCCATTTTCTTGTTGAGTATCTTCAGATGGGCTGATTTTAGAACTGGTAGAATCCGTTGTTTCTTCATTGGTTAGGTCAACACTGGCAAGATAGGAATAAAACACAGCTTTGCAAATAATCTATAAACTGATTAAGAAATATTTTGTATTTGTAGCCCTCATTTTACAGACAAATTTTAACAGAGCCCTAAAAGTGACACTGTCATCACAGGGTTAACGAGAATTACATGCCAGATAAAAGGTTCCAAATAAAAATATAATTGAGCATTAATTGTGCTTAACTTTGGCCCATAGCACTTTCATCCCATCGCACTACATACTGACCACTTGCATCCTCATGGTTCCTAAGGGTAGGATCTCTGACATCTGAATCATAAGGCTTTCGTTTAAGAATTGCTTAAGATGGGCTGGGCACAGCAGCTCACGCCTGTAATCCCAGCACTTTGGGAGGCCAAGGCACGTGGATCATCTGAGGTCAGGAGTTTGAAACCAGTCTGTCCCACATGGTGAAACCCCATCTCTACTTAAAATACAAAATTAGCTGGGCATGCTGGTGCATGCCTGTAATCTCAGCTATTTGGTGGTGGGGCTGGGGGCGGGGGTGAGGCAGGAGAATCACTTGAACCTGGGATGTGGAAGCTGTAGTGAGCCAGGACCGTGCCATGGCACTCCAGCCTAGGCAATAAGAGCAAAACTGCATCTCAAAAAATAAAAAAATTGCTTAAGATGTTTTTCAGACCCTGAATTCCAGCAGAAAGCGGACACCAACCAGTTTGAAGACGCCCCCAGAGGAAGAGAATCAGCATGAGGAGCGGTTTCTTCATCTCCAGATCCCATGACTTCATTGCTGCACTCTGAACAACCAACAGTCCTCACGCCTTAGTACACTCCAAACCCTTTAGTCTCAAGCTCCAAACCTCCCAAGGAGAATTTGGTCTCCTGGCTTGGCAGCCTTCAAATGAATTTTTTTCTGCTGCAACCCTTGGTGTGTCAGGGCATTGACAAGCTGTGCCCAACTACCTTGGGCACACGTCCAGCAGGCAGTCAGCACCTCCTAAGGCTGTGTCACAGGTGCATCCTTAACCCTTTCTAAACTGATTTAGACTGTCTCAGATACTTTTGGGTTCACAGATAGATTCTTGTTGCACTGTCCAAATGTTTGCTCACTTAGGCAGTCACAGGCAACTCAATATCTTCAATGACATGTGCCACTAAGATAACTGTATAAACGATGATCCCAAATTAGACTCAGAAATGTAAGATTTCCAAATCTTTTTGAAATCATTTTAAATCATATTTAAATAAGACCTCATTGTGGCAGATAAATAATAACTGCAAATTCTTTGCTACCCTCCCCTTCAAATCTGGGCCTTAGTGGCTTAATACAGGGAAAGCATATTCCGGACTTTTGAGGCTAGGCCTTAAGATAACCTGCCACCTCCATTGAAGCCTTTTGGAACACTCCCTCCAGGAACCCTGGAACTGCCACATAAAAAGTCCAACCACCCTGAGACTGCCACACTGTAGAGGACAAAGGCATGTGCTTCAGTCCATAGTCTTGACTCCACCATCCACCAATTGCTCCCCTAACCAATGCCCCAGACATATGAGTGGACAAACAGTATTAAAAGGTGACTACTAAGCATTAATAAACTATTCATACATTTTAAAAATGGGCAGGGTGCAGTGGCTCACACCCATAATTCCAACACTTTCGGGAGGCCAAGATGGGCAGATCACGAGGTCAGAAGTTCAAGACCAGCCTGACCGGCATGGTGAAACCCTGCCTGTACCCAAAATACAAAAATTAGCCAGGCATGGTGGTGCACGCCTGTAATCCCGGCTACTCAGGAGGCTGAGGCAGAAGAATTGCCTGAACCCGGGAGGTGCAAGTTGCAGTGAGCCAAGATCATGCCACTGCACTCCAGCCTGGGCACCAAAAGCAAGACTCTGTCTCAAAAAAAAAAAAAAAAAAAAAAAAAAAAAAAAATTTAAATAGGTGTTTGAATTTATAATTTTAATGCCAACATTTTAATTTTTCTATTTTGAAGCAACTTCACTTTTAGCACTACAAAAACAATTTTTTATTTAGTTTAAAAACAAAAAATTCCTATACACCATTCGCCCAGATTCCTCCAATGTTAACATTTTTAAAAATTTTTATTTATTTATTTATTTATTTATTTTGAGAATGGGGTTTCACCGTCTTGGCCAGGATGGTCTTGATCTCTTGACCTGGTGATCCACCCACCTTGGCCTCCCAAAGTGCTGGGATTACAGGCGTTGAGCCACCGCACCCGGCCTCCAATGTTAACATTTCACTTAATATTTGCTTTAATAATTGCTTTATTCTTTCTATTCTGAACCATGTTTAAATATTTTTGTGTTATTTCCTAAACACGAAGACATGCTTAGAGATTTGTATCACATTTGAAGAAGTGTGTCAGTAGGTGATTTCATTATTGTGCAAACATCATAGAGAGAATTTACGCAAACCTAGATGGTACAGCCTCCCACACAGCTAGGCTGTATGGTCTAGCCTAGTGCGCCTATGCTACAAACCTGTACAGCTGCTCCTACACTGAATACCGCAGGCAACTGTAACAGTAACTATTTGTGTATTTTAAAATACCTAACATAGAAAAGGTAGAGCAAAACTACAGTAACACAATCTACAGGGATCATCTTCATTTATGCAGTCTGTTGTCAACTGAGACGCGGTGCATATCTGTATATTGTTTAATCATCAAGTCAGAAGATTATCACTGATATGTATTTTTTACTTTTTTTTCCTTATTGCCTCCTGCAACTACATTTAATATTATCTCATTTAAAGACCTAGTCAGATCGTGCCAATTGGGCTACTAGTGTCCTAATCCAGGATCACGTTACATTTAGATGGCATGTCTCTTTTAATTCTCTTTAATTCAGGAAAGTTCTTTGGTCTTTGTCTCTCATGACTCTGACATTGTTGAAGAGTACAGGCCATTTATTTTACAGAATGTCCTATTTACTAGCTCTTATTATTTGATTCAGGTTGTGCATTTTTTTTTAGCAGGAATGTCACACAAGTGATACTATGTCCTCCTCCATGCATCATATCAAGCATCTGACATGGAGCTGTCCCATTCCTGGCGAAGCCAGCTTTGATAACCTGATTAAAGTGTTGTTAACCAGATTCTTCCACCACAAAGTTACGATTTTCCCTATCAAAGTATTTTGCGGGAAAGTACTCTGTGATTATATAAATACGCTGCGGTTCACTGAACTTGCCTGCTAGTTTTATTATCTGTTGATGATACATGCCTGAAATAATTACCAACATGGCAATTCCCAAATGAAGATTTTCCTAATTCTTCATACCTTCTACATTTAATAGTTGGAGATTTCCTGTAAGGAAAAATATTCCCTTCTCTCTTGAACAACTGTATTTACAACAGCATGGGTTCTTTTTTTCTTTTATGGATGTATTCTATTCCTAAGTATTCTGTTGCTTGGATTACAGCAGATTTGATGGGAAATGAGGGAAGGCAGCTTTTAAACTAGGTCACGTGCCCTTCTGGCACGTCAACATTTTCTGGGCACCTCCTTACTTTCTAGTACTATAGACACCCCAGGCTCATCTTGTACTTTCTTCACTCCTACTCTGCAATCAGTCATTTCTTTTTAACTTCTTTATTTTCACATTAAGCCCCTTCCATTCTATGAAACATTAAGCCCCTTCCATTCTATGAAACATTAAGCCCCTCCCATTCTATGAAACATTAGGCCCCTTCCATTCTATGAAATCAGTTATTTTTTTTTTTTTTTTTTTTTGAGACGGAGTTTCGCTCTTGCTACCCAGGATGGAGTGCAATGGCGTGATCTCGGCTCACCGCAGCCTCCGCCTCCTGGGTTCAGGCAATTCTCCTGCCTCAGCCTCCTGAGTAGCTGGGATTACAGGTATGTGCCACCAAGCCCAGCTAATTTTTGTATTTTTAGTAGAGATGGGGTTTCACCTTGTTGACCAGGATGGTCTCAATCTCTTGACCTCGTGATCCACCCGCCTCAGCCTCCCAAAGTGCTGGGATTACAGGCGTGAAACACCACGCCCGGCCCAAATCAGTTATTTCTAAAAAGCCCTTGCTTCTTTCAGTGAAGAATGGTATTTACAGGCCACGATCTGGGTGCCTTATGAACTTAATGCCAATTTTGAAGCATAAAATATTTTGAATTGTCTTCCTTTTACATAAAAATAACCTTCAAGAGCATCAAAAACACCGTGTAAGTTTAAGTGCAAAACTTTCTTTTGTGAATTTCACCCTGCCCAAAAGTTCTCTTATTAAACAATGAGCTATTAGACTTTTCTCAACGTCTTACCACCAGAGAGAAAAAGCCAAATGATTCCATGCCTAATCAAAGATGTTATTTCCTTTTTATTGAAAGCATTAAAACCAGAAAGGAAAGACTGTTAGCGCTTTGCTTCTGTCAAATCTTCTATTTCATAACTGCATTTAAAATATATATATATTATCAAAGACCGGGTGTTTGTTCAACACATTAAGCCCCTTACCTATCCGGCCTGCACACTTTTTTCCCCAAGTTTAAAGATGCCCAACTATAATTCAATCTACCTCATAAAACTGCAAACACAACCCTTACTTTCCTCAATGGGTGGACTGTCATAGGTGATATATGGGGAGAGCATGATTGTGTCATTAATTATTAATCGTACCTTATACTTACTGGGCTCCATATGCCAGGCACAATTCCAAGTGTTTTACACCTATTAGCTCACTTAATCTTTACAACAACCCCACGAAGAAGGGGCAGCACAGATAAAGAAACTGAAGCAGGGCCAGGCGCAGTGGCTCACCTGAGGTGAGGAGTTCGAGACCAGCCTGATCAACATGGTGAAACCCCACCCCGACTAAAAATATAAAATCAGCCAGCTGTGGTGGCACATGCCTGTAATCCTAGCTACTCAGGAGGCTGAGGCAGGAGAATCGCTTGAACCCAGGAGGCAGAGGTTGCAGTGAGTCGAGATCGCCCCACTGCACTCCAGCCTGGGCAACAAATTCCAGAAGGATGTCTCAAAAAAAAAAAAAGAAAGAAAGAAATTGAAGCAGAGAAAAGTTACACAGGTACTAAACAAGCACAGGTGGACTCAGAACTGATTCAGTAGGTCTGGGTGAGGCCTAAGATTCTGCATGCCTAACAAACTCCCAAGGAGTGGCATGCTGCTGATCCAGAGGTCCACACTGGGCCTAGCAAGGCTCCGGGACATGGGCTATCAATGCTGGCCTTGCATTAGAATCACTGCACAGCAAAAAAAAAAAAAAAAGCCAATGAGAAATAAATAGGTCCTATCCAGACTAATTAAAGTAGAATCTCCAGGTTTTTAAATTTCTCCAGATAATTCCAATATGTAGCTAAGATTCAGCATAGTTGGCCAGGCGTGGTGGCTCTTGCCTGTAATCCCAGCACTTTGGGAGGCTGAGGCGGGCGAATCACCCAAGGTCAGAGTTTGAGACAGGCCTGGCCAACATGGTGAAAAATACAAAAATTTGCTGGGTGTAGTGGCAGGTGCCTGTAATCCCAGCTAACTGGGAGGCTGAGGCAAGAGAATCCCTTGAACCCAGGAGGTGGAGGTTGCAGTGAGCCACCTGCACTTCAGCCTGGGTGACAAAGGATGACTCATCCTCAAAAAAAAAAAAGACTCAGCATAGCTGTTTTAAGAGGATTTCCCTTGTCTCTTATTAAGACACTGAAGATAGATTCCAATGCAGAGGACTAAATCACTTTAGTGTTCAATTTCAATTTTTGCTGATTGATATCCCAGGAATTCAGTGAAGAATTGAGATTCCTGCCCCATTCGTTTAAGATAGCCAAAGCCCTTGCTCACCAGGCTTGAGTGTTTCTGGTCATAAAGTCTTCTAATCCATTTTTTTCTTTTCCTTTCATTTTTGCTAAAGCCAACATCAAAAATCTAATCAGGTCACGCTCTGTGCATACACAGCCCTTAGAAACACCTTGAACCTTGACCCTTCCCCATTTTTCTCTTTAGCAAACTAAACTTTAAAAGCGCACTCTCATTCATACTTGACCTGAGTTTTCAGAGACAAGAGACCACAGCCTGATCAACACCTTTGCTGTTTTTGCCAATTTACCATCCCGGGGTAAGAGAATCCTAAAAGCCATGCACCACGCTAAGCTTGATCCACATCTTTTCTGAGGGCCTATTCCAGGAAATCCACTTATTTTGTTGCTATTTATTGGTTACAATATAGTCTGTTGCAACCAACAGACATTAACTCAGGTTGGTGTGACCAAAACATGAGAATTTATAAGGAAGCAAACATGTAACAGAGCCTAGTACCGAAATGCAGCCATGTTTGAGGAGGGGCAATGAAAGACTTTCTCTCAGTCCTACTCTCCAACTTCCTTCTGCAGACCTCTGTTCTCAGCTTCTCTGTACACAAAAAAAGATACGGAGGAATCGCCACAGGTGCTAAGTTAACATATTACCGTTCCAGCTTCAGAGGAAGATTCAGACTTGACTCTCTTGGTTCTAATTCTGAAACCAAGGAGAGGATCTGACTGGCCAGTTTGAGTTGGTGAATACCTCCTAGTCCAACTTGCTCTGGTTAGTAAAACAGGGGAGCCAGAGACAAATCACTGTGGGTGACTAGACAATTCCCCAATGGCAAGACAGAGAAAGGAACTTAATGAAAATATCTTATCACATCTGTAAGCGAGGGTACCTGAAAAGGCCAAAGGGAAAATACAGTCTCCACTATTAACAGTCAATTTCACAGGTTGTACATAGCTGGGAGAACTTTATACATTCAGGACATATTTATTGGAGGCTTACTATGTGTCAAAAGCTGTGTCAGACTTTGGGAAATTAACAATGTATTTCAGGACATATTTATTGGAGGCTTACTATGTGTCAAAAGCTGTGTCAGACTTTGGGAAATTAACAATGTATAAAACAGATACTTCTTACTAGACGTGCAGTCTAATAGGAGACATAAAATAATGAACAGCAATTATAATATGGACTAAGTTATTACAACAGGGGTCATGCAGGATGCTATGAGTACCCGAAAGAGGAACCTTACCCAGACTTGGGACATCAGGAAAAGCTTCCTAGAGATAAATCATGTTTCAGCTTGGGCCTTTAAGATAAATATTATCAAGGAAGGAAAAAGAAAAAAAGTTCCAGGCAGAGGTACTAAAGATCTTCATGAAGGTTCAAAGACAAGAGAAAATGACCCGTTGGCAAAAACTAAAAGGTTTATATGCCTAGAATCTGGAAATACAGGTTCCAAGTTGTGGAGCCAAATAGTAGAGGGCCTTGTAAGACATCTAGACTTTTTCAGAGCAGTCGTGCAGGAACTGGGGAAGGGAAATGAAGTAACAGGAGTGCGTGTGCACTAAAAACAACAACAACAACAACAAAAACTATCATTCCGGCTGGCCAGCCTAGAGTCCAGAGCAAGTAAACAATACCGGAAGCCAGGAGGCTTCCAATTTACCATTCTTCGTTAGAAGAAGATTTTGCCTTCATTCATTCGTTTCCACCTCTCGCTTACCTATTTCCCATCACTTGAGTCAAAAATTACATTTTCACCTTTTCCTCCCTGGACTCCAAATAACGTTTGAAGCGATCGTCCGGGGGAGCAAAGCGCTCGATCAGCTGCTGGGGCGCATCTTCGCGCAGCAGCAGCAGCAGCTACGCCGGGCGCTCTGCCTCAACACCTCCCGCCGAGCTCCAGGGCAGGTCCCAGGACGCGCAGCGCAACCTGGTATCAAACTGCCTCGGTCCGGACAGGCTCCCCCGCTCCCCTCACCACTTACTAGATCCTGGGCTCGGCGGTGGTTTCAGGACGGCGTTCCAAGGCGCTCTCCTCCACCGGAGGCTCGAAGTAGGAGTTCAGTGCCCTCTGAAAAACAAAGGCACAGGGATGAGGTTCGTGCGCTCCGCCGACCTAGTCAGCGGAGCAGGACGCGACGCCAGCAAAAGCTTACTTCCATCTCCCAGTCGTTCTCGGCCAGGTAGCACTGAGCCACAGCGGAATCGCAGTTCGCGACCGAGGCAAACTCCAAACACAGAAGTCGCCGCTTCTTCACCGCGGGCTCGCCCTCTTCCCCCGCCGCCTCTGTCCCGCCCTCCAGGCAGCCGCCGAGCTCCATCGTTTTACCGCTTCCGCACCGCCCCTTTAAGCGGAACAGGAAGCCCACTCCAGGCTCTGCGCAGGCGCCCGCGCTCCGGCGCCCCCGCATCAACTGCCCGGCGGGGAAACTTGCTCCTTCTTCGAGAATAATTGGTGCAGCTGCGCCGCGAGCGAACCGCCCAGGCGGTGGGGGCGAAACGCGCGTGCGCGCTCCGTTACTAGGGGGCGGACGACAGCGTCAGGCGGCGCACTTGACGCCCGGCCTCTTGCGCGCCTAGTGGGGAGGAGGGTGTAGGCTCTTCGCCCTCGGTGCCCTTCTTCCATTAACTTCTGAGCTTTCTGGCTCTTCCAGAGTTTGTTCTTGCGCAGAGCCCAAAAGCCGGAAAACCGTCCACGATGAACGGCGTGACCCAGAATCTGCGGGAGGTGGTGAAGGCCTTGGCCAAGGCTGGCTGTTTTGATAGAGTTTTGGGAAAGGTATGGGAAAGGTTTGGGAGGCGAAGCCTCGGGTTCTAATGAAGGGAAGGAAAGCGCCGTGCTTGGTGCTGTTGTGAGCTTGGAATAATTGTCTCTTGTTAGGTTCTGTTCTAGTACGCGTGTAAATTCATCTTGGTATTAATAATTACCGCTCTAACGGAGATCCTAAATATGCTGGGTAAACGCATACGTTCTCTGTCTAAACATAGATAAGTGTGATGATGACTGGGAGACGGAATTCCCCAGTTCTAGAGCTGGAAGGGACTTTGGAGTTGGATACTTCCACAGTCAAGCGTCTGCGTGCCTCCAGAGAAGAGTTAAGAGAAACCTCTACATTTAAGGCACATTCTTAATTTTGTAGGCTCTAAAGGATTAGAAGATAAATAATTTCAATAAGGTACAAAAGCCAAGTGCTTGGTAGAGTGGTGAATGAAGGGAGAAGTTGTTCCTCCTATTGGTTTGGGAAATTTCTCAAATGCATGCAACTCCTGAAGAAGTAAGTTAGCCCTTAGGGGAAGATCGAGTCCTTTTTCGAGACCACTACTCATAAAGCCTGGAGGTGTTTTAAGAGTCATTTTAGGAGGCAGCGAAGTGCCACAGAGCTAGAGAGAATCGTCACTGCCTCTTTCGCTTGACCTAGGCCAGAGTCAATAGTTTTAAGTGTCCTTGTGTAGAGAGTCTTGATTGCAAATTGTCTAAGTTCTTGGCATTTTAAACAAAGATTTGGACAAAGCACACAGCAAAGTAAGCAAAGAATGAGGCAATGAAAGAACAAAAGCAAGGATTTCTTTGTTTGTTTGTTTGTTTACTTATTTGAGACAGTTTCGCTCTTGTTGCGCAGGCTGGAGTGCAGTGGCGCGATCTCGGTTTACTGCAACCTCCGCCTCCCGGGTTCAAGCGATTCTCCTGGCTCAGCCTCCCAAGTAACCCGGATTATAGGCAGGCGCCACCACATCTGGCTAATTTTGTATTTTTGGTAAAGAGGAATTTTCATCTGTTGGTCATGCTGATCTCAAATTACTGACCTCAGGTAATCCCACCTGCCTCAGCCTCCTGAAGCTCTGGGATTACAGGCGCGAGCCACCGTCCCGGCCAAAAGCAGAGATTTATTGAGAATGAAAGTACACTGCAGGCTGGGCGCGCCAGCACTTTGGGAGGCCGAGGTGGGCGGATCGAGAGGTCAGGAATTCGAGACCAGCCTGGCCAACATGGTGAAACACCGTCTACTAAAAATACAAAACTTAGCCAGGCTTGGTGGTGCATATCTATAATCCCAGCTACTCGGGAGGTTGAGGCAGGAGAATTGCTTGAACCTGGGGGGCTGAGGTTGCAATGAGCCAAGATCACGCCACTGCACTCCAGCTCTGGGCAACAAATCAAGACTCGGTCTGGGGAGGTGGGGGGTGGCGGGGTGGAAGGTTAGGGGAGGAAAGAAAGTACACTCCAGTGTGGGAGCAGGGCGAGCAGCGGCTCAAGAGCCCTAATACCACGTAAAGGCTTCTCTGGCCACTTGGTGGTCACCTCATGTAAATGAAGTGGTGACCTGCAATTGGTTATGGAATGCAACCCTCAGAGGCTAAAGTGAAGTTACAAAGTAACTCCAGACCCTATTCTCCTGCCTCACTTGTAAAAAAATCATGTTCCATAAGAAGCATTTATAAAGAAACCTTGTGAACCTCGAAAATTTGAGGTGGGTCTCAGTTAATTTACAAAGTTTATTTTGCCAAGGTTGAGGTTGTGCACAGTGACACAATCTCAAGAGGTTCTAGCAATATGTGCTAGAGCAAGGTGGTCAGAGCACAGTTTGTTTTTATACATTTTAGGGAGATATGAGACATCAATCAGTATATGTAAAAGGAACACTGGTTTGGTCCGGAAAAGGCAGGACAACTTGAAGCGGGAAGGGGCTTCCAGGTCACAGGTAGGTGGGAGACAAATGGTGGCATTCTTTTGAGTTTCTGATTCCCCTTTCCAAAGGAGGCAGTCAGATACACTTATCTCAGTGAGCAGAGGGATGACTTTAGGTCTAGATTATGACAAGTTTGTCTACAAGTATTTGTCCCATTATGTTTACCTAATTATTGTAATTGTTTACCTAGATTATTTTTGAAAACTGAAATAGTCATCATTTAAAGTTATGGAAGTACCATTGCAAAAGTATAACTGAGTCAGTGAAAAAGATTTGGCCTAACTGACTCCATCTTGCTTTTTAGCCTCCAAGCCATCCTTGCTCATTTCTGGGTATAGGCTGAACTAACTTTGGGAGGAACTTCGTTTATAGTTTAGTTTTGAAACAAACTATAACTAAATATATGTTTAGCCCTTTCCCTAAACAAACCTCCTTACTGCCTGTTAACTAGACTGCCTAAAGCCACAAGATTAAAAGTCATGGTAGGTAGTAATACTAAATTCAAGATGCAGCTATTTCATTAAACCCATATCAATGTCTTATTAAAAATTACACAAGCAGGCCAGGCATAGTGGCTCACACCTGTAATCTTAGCAGTTTTGGAAGCCAAGGTGGGTGGATCACCCTGAGGTAAGGAGTTTGAAACCTGGCTGACATGGTGAAACCCCGACTCTTATTAAAAATACAAAAAAATTAGCCAGATGTGGTGGCACGTGCCTGTAATCCCAACTGCTCAGGAGGCTGAAGCTGGAGACTCTCTTGAACCCAGGAGGCGGAGGTTGCAGTGAGTCGAGTTAGCATCACTACTCTCCAGCCTGGCGACACAGTGAGACTCCACTTTAAAAAAGGAAAATAATTACACAAGTAAAAGATTATTCTATTTGGGGCTGGATTTATAGTTTTGTAAGCTCTATACCAGATTTTGACATCTTACAGTATTTGGCAAGGATAAGTATGAAATTGCTTGATTAATAGCTTTATCAATAATTTTAAAGCTAGCTTATTTATTAAATATTTTACTTAAGTTATATAAACTTGAAAAAGCATTTGGTAGTCTTTTTTCCTGATTCAAGTCCATTTATTAAGCCAGTTAGTTAGAGCTCTTTATGTATTTTCAATAGTGAAATACTGTGTTCACTCCGTTGTACATACAAATACATGGATGTATTAGGCATGTCCATAGAAGTATATTTTATAAGGGAGGGATAGCCTGGGGAGAAATGCCAAATGTGGGTGAGGGGCAGGAAGGCAGCAAAACACACTGCCATGTGTGTACCTATGCAACTGTTTTGCACGTTCTGCACATGTACCCCAAAACCTAAAATGCAATAAAAAAGAAAAAAAAAAAAAGAAGTGCATTTTATAGATTCCTAAGACCTCCTTTTCTTTTTTTTTTTTAATTACTATCTTAGACTTGCAGACTCCTGAAAACCAGTTTACTTACTCTGGCAGTTGTCAACTAAATAACCCTAAATCTGCGTATTAAAGGAAACAACTCAGGTTAAAATCAGCAAAATTTACATCATAAAGTATGAAGAGAAAGTCTGGTAAGCTAGTGGGAAATTAAAATGGATTTAATTGCCAACTGAACAGAAAATTATAGAAGTCTATTTTAAAGGCCTTTAAATATATACTTTTTAGATTCTTTTTAGGTCTAAAGCTCTGTTAGGTTATGCCTGTAATCCCAGCACTTTGGGAGGCCGAGGCGGGAAAGATTCTATAGTTTTTACTTCAGTACTTTAGCCATGAGGTAAATACCGATTCACTGGCTTGCAAAATAAAAAAACAAATTTGTTAGACCCAAACAGTGGTTTTTTTTGTTTTGTTTTGTTTCGTTTTGTTTCCTCTCTGTTGGAAAGAAACAGCAGATTTAAAGCAGGCAGAAAATGGAATAGAGAAATGGGGACCTAGGAACTCCACAGTTGGCAGGTCGACCTTAGGGCTCTTCTTCCTTAATGTAAACTGCAGAGACCATGTTTTTCAATTTTGCTTTGGCCGATAGAGGTGCCGGAAAGGCTAGAGTGCTCAAAAGGGGGGCATTCTCCTTATTTTCTCCTCATGCTTAGATTGTTTCCTGCCTTTTTTTTTTTCTTGAAAGGAGGAACTGAGCTGTGGCCTAGGGTTTTTGTGTCCTGGATCAATATGTACTGCTTGTGGGCAGGACTCTGTAGTGTGTCACCACTGTGTCATTTGCACCGTCTTATGTGTCTCAGTTTCTCTCTCCAGCTGGCACAATCTCAGCTCACTGCACCCTCCACCTCCCGGGTTCAAGTGATTCTCCTGCCTCGGCCTCCTGAGTAGCTGGGATTACAGGCACCCACCACCATGTCCGAATTTTGTATTTGTAGTAGAGACAGGGTTTCACCGTGTTGGCCAGGCCAGTCTCAAACTCCTGACTTCAGGTGATCCTCCTGCTTCAGCCTCCCAGAGTTCTGGGATTACAGGCATGAGCCAGTGTGCCTGGTGGTGATTTTTAGTTATATGTGCTGCCAAAGCAGGCAACTGTCCACTATTTTTTAAATGAGTTTTTTCTGGGGATTTCCCTGGAAGGCCATTGCATATCGTGGGCGTTCAACCCCCAGACACTCCCATGAGGGCCCCAGTCTTCCAGGGGCACCTTTTGGCCCGGAAGAGCACATGTCATTTTTCTTCAGAGCTGAGAAAACTCTCTTATTAACATGTGAAAACAATAGTTCAGTTCCTCACGAACGTGTGCAGACAAACCGAATTAGGATTAATTTTAGGAGAAGACCCTTTAGAATGCATCTTCGAACTCAAACTAGGATCCTTAAACAACTTCCTAGGAGAGACAAGGGGAAAATAAAACAGTTAAGACCACTTCCTGAAACTGTACTCAGCCGCCCAGAACTTTGTAGCTCTCGTCCAGCATTATACAGGCCAAGGTCAGAGCCTCTCAGTGCAAAGTCGCCCCTGTACCCCAAAGCCAGGAAGGTTAAGTCATGCAATATGGGAAGACAGAGCTGTAGACCTAAAAAAATCTGCCCATGACTTTTGAAACTCCACAAAGAAAACAGCACACCCCCAAAGGGGGTGAGTGGCACCTTTCTTCTGAATTCTTTAAATGGGTTCAAGTCATTAGAAGCCTCTAGATGTTTTTGATACTGCAGACGGCAAAGGGGGAAGGAGGTGTAGGGTGTAAGGAAAGTAAATGAAAGAATAACGTTTTCTAAGACAGGAAGTAAGCACATAAACCAAATATATGTTTGTTTTCTCCTTTTTCTTTTGCAGCTGTGAGGAGTTTTAGCCAAAATAGGGAGGCCTTGTTACCCATCATTTGGAATACTTACTCTGATTTCACCAAGTCAGGTAGAGTTGGTCAGATCCAATGGGAGAGCCCCAACAGTATAATCACTGAGCACTCTGTTGGTAAGGAGAAATTAAGACCAGCTGGTTGTTAATCTTAACTTTAGCCAAGACAAACCCCACTTCAGTTGTTTACCTAGAGATGGGTTTCAGGGTGGAGACTGCTGTCAAGCATCCTAGACGCAGGGGGAAAACCTCATCTTCCCTATTGGAAGCGAGCTCAAACTCCATAAAGGAGCTGCTTGCTCTCCAGCATCATAGAAGCAGGAAAACCTTGCCTTCCTTTTGTTGGAAACAAGTAAAATAAAAAAAAAAAAAAGGATTTTACAGCAAAATAAACTTTAGATCTCGATCAAATTTTGAGAGATCAGGGATTCTCTGGAGGGGGTGCTCTCAGACCTCAGCAAATGGTCCTATTCGTTTGAGCCATAAAGTTAGCTTGTGCTGGTACCAAACAGTGGTAGGAGATTTGTCAAAGGTCAGGGGCACCTCCACTCAGAATCCCTTCTTGGTTACTAACTGTGAATGCAGAAAATTTGAGACTGGTCTCAGTTCATTTAGAAAGTTTACTTTGCCGTCCAGGCCTGGTGGCTCACATCTGTAATCCCATCACTTTGGGAGGCCAAGGTGGATGGATCATCTGAGGTCAGGAGTTCAAGACCAGCCTTGCCAACATGGTGAAACCCCATCTCTACTAAAATACAAAAATTGGCTGGGTGCGGTGGCAAATGTTTGTCATCTCAGCTACTCAGGAGGCTGAGACATGAAAATCACTTGCACCAGGAGGCGTTGAAGTGAGCTGAGTTGGTGCTACTGCACTCCAGCCTGGGCGACAGAGTGAGACTCTGTCTCAAAAAAAAAAAAAAGTTTATTTTGCCAAGGTTGGTCCTGATGACATATGCCTAAGGTGGTCAGATCATAGCTTAGTTTTATACATTTTAGGAGACATGAAGCATCAGTCAATATATGTAAAACCAACATTGGTTTGGTCCAGAAAGGCAGGACAACTGGAAGCAGGGAGGGGCTTCCAGGTCACAGGTAGGTGGGAGACAAAGGACTGCGTTCTTTTGAGTTTCTTGATAGGCCTTTCTAAAGGAGGCAGTCAGATCCGCATTTATCTCAGTGAGCAGAGGGATGACTGAATAGATTGGGAGGCAGGTTTGCCCTGAGTGATTCCCAGCTTGAATTTTCCTTCTCTGTTAGTGATTTTGGGGCCCAAGGTATTTTCCTTTCAGAGCCTGAATAACAAAAGTGTTGTCAGCTTCTTGACTTACTAAAGATAAGAATGTGTAGGGGTTTTCCTAAATGTTTTGATGCATGCATGTCTGTTTTTCTGATTAAGATGGAGTACTGGGAAATTTGGAAGTGGAGTTTAGACACAGATCAGCTGCAGTCATCTGCAGGTCCCCTCCTGAAACACAACTCTCAGGCCGTACTGTAACAGTGTGTATAACTGTCTTTAACTGTCTCTCAGGGCTTCTGTGAAAAATAGAGGAAATAATTATTAGATAAATGTATTTAATGTTTTCAAGTGGCATAAAATGCAAGGGCTTATTATTTGATAGTAACTCTGAAAGGTAAATTATCCAGTGATGGAAATGGGTTTATAATGTCGGGAACAATCCACACCGAGACAGTGGATGACTCGGCAAGGCTAGTTTACTTCCTGCAGGAGGGGTGCAACTCGCCAGCAGTCTTGCCATGAGAGCACACCTGAACAAGGAGACGGGGACATTTATAACTTTCATAACCTGATGCAATTGCCCTACTGCTGTGTCCAGTTTCCGTTGGCCAGAACAGGATGCCCAGTTCTGTTTAGACATGCTGGAGCAAGCCAAGGTAGCTGATTTAAGGCTGATTTAGAGAATACATATACATGAGTATATGTTTATGCTAATAGTGGATAATGGTCATAGAGCAAGAGATCATAATTCCTTACAAGGTAGTCTAAGATATAAACTTGGAAGAAGAACTTCACTGTCTCTTACAGTTCCCTCCTCTTTTTATTTCATAATTCTTCAAATGTATTGAATAGGTCCTTGCTTCATTGTTCAACTTGGTCTTCCAACAGAAGTAATTTCTCTGGATAGGATGGAGGAGGAGCTGGAGGTAGGTTAGTGAGGGTAGTATTAACAAGCCTTTGCATGAGTCCTTGAACACAGAGTATGACACAACGTTCTACAAGAAGTGTACGTAATACCGCTACCAGGGAAGTGCAGACTGATGCCACACTGTCCTTCCATTTGCCGAATTCTTTCTCTAGCCAGTTTGAAATGCGGTTATTTATTCCTGAATTTTTAGCTAGTTCATTCGATAGGGTCATAGGTTCCTGTAAGGCTCTCGTGATATGTCCATCTGGAGCTGTGTTATTTGGATTGAAAGTACAGCATTGGGTCTTAATCATTATGCAAACACCACCCTTTTCAGCTAACATCATGTGAAAAGCAGTCCTGTTTTCCCCTGCCGTTTGGCTGGTAGACTGTAGTGTTCGCGCCAAGGGCTCGAGACAGCTAGTGGACTCGCCCCAGTTTGGCTGCTGGACCTGTCTGCATTTCCCCACCTCGAGGGCTGTCGAGTGAGACAAAGGGCCGCGAGCTGAGTCACTAAAAGCAACAACAGAATGCAAAGCAAAGGCCTGCAGTTTATGAGGACATTCTTACCAGCTATTTGCATCCTTACGTCTTGTTCCAATAGCTGTGGTTTACCTTAGGTCCTCTGAGGCCTAAGGTTCTACCTTTGAGACTTTGGTTTTGTCATTGTGTCTAGGAGAAGTGATTGATAAGAGGTTGAAGGAGCAGTAAATCCATTTCGAAAATTTCCTTTGGATCCTGTCCTGAAATGTCACCTCCTATACCACAAATATGGCTTCATGAAGGGGAAGAGTTTTCAGATGTTGCAGTAACAATAGTAAGCTGTATAGGATGACATTGGTTATCTGACAGCTAGAAGGAGCAATTCCTTCGTGTGGATAGATGGTTTTAAGGACTGGCGAAGACCTGTGGAAGCAGGCTATCCTAAACCTTTAGTGCCCCATATGACATTAGACCACGCAGAACATAGAGATTCTGTTTTATAGGGGTAAGAGTCTGACTCCTACCAATTAATACACTTACTATTCCTTGGATTACTAGCATCCTTAGAGGAACTCATGACGTGACTTCCTCATCTGGGGAAGTCTGAGAGGGACAGAGACATCCTTCTGAAGCAGCAAGCTGTCCCTGGTTATGCACATCTCCACAAGGCATAACTAAACAGACATCAGAGCAGCAACCTGAGGTGAGCCAGATCTAATCGCATTAACACCACGATGGGTAGTAAAGGGAAGAAAAGAATAGACTAAGCTTTTCTTAGCTTCAACCCGGAATAATAGCCGATGATTCTAATAGTGATGGTGCTTTCTCGACTCGGGTGTGATGTGTTCGTCTCTTTTCTGGGCCAACGGCAGTCTTGGTGGCTAGCAGCATGAGTAGGGTGGTCTCCAGGCTGGTGCTGCTGTACTGGAAATTCTAGGAGTGGTGCCTGTGCTAAGAGAACTTCTTTAATCTTATTGAAGAGCAGGTTAGTGCTTTAAGAAAAACCTGTTGTGCTTTTATTTCAATGTCCAGTTTAAATAAAAACTGAATGATACCTCTTGAACTTTAGCTAAGATGTTTACACATGGAATTTCCTTTATGGTTAATGTTTCAAAAGTTGTTTAAACTTTCAAACAAAAATTATGCAACACTTCTTACATAAATTCCTTTTTTTTAATTTTTATTTATTTTTTTTGAGATGGAGTCTTACTCTGTCACCAGGCTGGAGTGCAGTGGCGCAATCTCTGCTCACTGCAACCTCCACCTGGGTTCAAGCGATTCTTCCGCCTCAGCCTCCCGAGTAGCTGGGACCACAGGCGCATGCTACCACACCCAGCTAATTTTTGTATTTTGAGTAGAGATGGGGTTTCACCATGGCCAGGATGGTCTCAATCTCTTGACCTTGTGATCTGCCCACCTCGGCCTCCCAAAGTGCTGGGATTACAGGTGTGAGCCACCGCGCCCGGCGTATAAATTCCTTTTCATAACATTTTTCACAACTGTCATAGACAATCTTAACTTTCTAACTTTGTTTTATAACTTTCCTTACTAAAGGTGCATTCCTACAACTTTCTTAGTATTTCTTTCTCTTCTTCCTAATCTCTCTCCTTTGTTTCTCCTTCTCGTTGCCTCCTTGTCTCTCTCTCCCTCTCTGCCTCTTTTTCTCTCTCTCTTTGGCTCTCTCTCTCTCTCTTTCTCTCTCTCTGACTCTCTGTCTCTCTTCTCTCTCTTTGACTCTATGTCTCTTTCTCTCTGGCTCTCCATGTCTACCATTTCTTCCCTTGAAAGGGAGAATACTTAGAATGGACATGAACTTGGTCTAAGTATATAACTGGGGACATAAAAACCGATCATCTGTTCTGCTACCCCATCAGGATCATCTAATAATGGCTGAAGTTTTAGACTCCGGATCTTAGAAGCAGTAAGGGAGCATTCACAAAACCAACCTCACCTCCTCTTTGAGGCTTCATAAAACTAAGCAACCATGCCTCCTCCTGAGGCATCTTCTTTAGAGAGGGGAAAAAAAAAAAAGCTTTGAAGCTGAAGCTGATTCCTTAGAAGAAGAGGGGAGAGGATATCTCTTTTGCATTGCCCTGTCTCTCACTGGAGCCCTTTCTTCAATGGAGAACACTCAGGCTGGCACTGATGAGGCCTTTGAGATGCTAGCTCTCCGAAGCCTGGGTTATACAGGGGAGTAGGGAATTCTAGGTTGGGTTCTGAGGTGCCAACACTGCTTAGGCAGGAGGAGGCAGTGCCGTGGGGTTGGCAGAAGCAGGAGCTGGAGTAGGAAATGAGGGAAGATGGTCTAAAGGGTCCCATTTACACGTGGAGTGCTCATGGGTAAAAGCTCCACCCTTTTTAGGTGAGACCCTTCCTTACTTTATTCTACTCTCTGATTGTTTTCTTCCTTCTCTGAATGAGTAGAGGACACCTGGCCCCTGCTGCCAGCAGAGAGCATAGTCCATTCTTGTGAGACAGGGCTTTTCTTGTTAACATACATGATTAAGAGTTGACAGACCTAATCCTCATCTGACACAAATTTTGGCCAGACAGCTGTGGCCTTGAGGATCAGTTCTTTAATCTAAATGAAACAGCAATACTTTATCATTTGTTAGGGAAGACTCAGCCCCCCAGGCTGGGAATCTCTTGCCTATTCCATTTATGGAAGACTCTCCCAGCACAGTAAAGGCCAAAAAAAAAAAAAAAGACTCAGTCCCCCACAAGCTGGGAATTTCTTGCCTATTCGATTTTTATGGAAGACTCAACCCCCCAAACTGGGAATCTCTTGCCTTTTCCATTTACGGAAGACTCAAACTGCATGCTGGGAATCCCTTGCCTATTCCGTTTACGGAAGACTCAACCCACCCCGAAGCTGGGAATTTCTTGCATTGGCTGCCCTGGGAGGTTGCTCTGTTTCCTCCCTTCCCACTTCTGAGGGTCCTTTACACTCTTCTCATTCGTACCATCCAACGTGGCTGCTCTCCAGCAGTAGGACTTGTCACCATCCACATAAACAACACCACATTCACACACACATTCCACTTTCCAGAAGTTGACCACCAAGGAAGTACTTTGTCGCCCTTTGCAACGTTTCCTACTTTGGCTCATGCATGAGGTTGCCTGGCCGAGGCCCCTGGTCACTGTGGTTTGGTATCTCTTCTGTATTGCTGAGATTCTAGGTTTATTCTCTGCACCAGGTAAGTTCTGGCTCTCTCTCCCAGGGCTACTACAATAGGGCGGCGGGGCACCTCCCCACAAGAGAGGACCAAGGACTGTCCCAGAGGGGAAACGGAACCCCAGACGAGCCCCCAAATTTGTTGGAAATGGGTTTATAACATTGGGAAAAATCCACACTGAGACAGTGGATGACTCAGCAAGGCTACTTTACTTCCTGCCGGAGGGGTGCAACTCGCCAGCAGTCTTGCCATGAGAGCACACCTGAACAAGGAGATGGGGACATTTAAAACTTTCATAACCTGATGCAATTGCCCTACTGCTGTGTCCAGTTTCCATTGGCCGGAACAAGACCTCACATTCTACGTTTGACCTGATTGACTAAAAACTTGGAAATTTCCTGAATAGATAAGGAGAAAGAAGATGAGGAAGAAGAGGAAACTAGTCAGGAGAAGGTCAGGAGGGTTTCCAAATAAGGAATAACGTGCACCAGGGTTTGGAGTTTGCCCAGTTCTGTTCAGACATGCCAGGGTGAGACAAGGTAGCCAATTTGAGATGTAGCTGATTTAGAGAATATATATACATGGGCATATGTTTATGCTGATAGTGGATAATGGCCATAGAACAAGAGATTGTAATTCCTTATATGTAGTCTAAGATATAAACTTTGAAGAACTTTTCCATCTCTCACATCTGAAAAAGGATGTATTGGCCTAAGGGGAAATTTGAAGTCCTTGAAAACTCTATAGTCATTTTCCTTGTTAGGCTTCCAACAACTTTATGAGTGTGCATCTCCTTGTGATAATCTTGCCATGGATTGGATTGCCTTTGAGTATCTGGTTAAACTCCTCATACCTTGAACAGACACACTGGAATAGTCAATCCTTGCCTAAGTTGGCAGTGATGGTAACTTCCCTTCCAAGAAGACTGATAATGCCCGTTGACCAGGAATAAGAGTTTCCCAGAAGCTGCAGTAAGGTTGAAGTGTCTAGATTAGGGCCATCTGGTAGAAATATAATGTAAGCCGCAATGTGAGTGATACGTGTAGTTATAAATTATAAAATAGCCACATTGTAAAAAATGAAAAAAAAGGTGAAATTAATTTTAGTAATGTAAGTAATAGTATATCCAAGATATTTTTTATCATGTAATCACAATTAAAAAGTTTTAAATCATGGCCAGGTGTGGTGGCTAATGCCTGTAATCCCAGCACTTTAGGAGGCAGAGGTGGGTGGATTGCCTGAGGTCAGGAGTTGGAGACCAGCCTGCCCAACATGGAGAAACCCCATCTCTACTAATAATACAAAAAATCAGCCAGGTGTTGTGGCAGGCACCTGTATTCCCAGCTACTCAGGAGGCTGAGGTAGGAGAATCGCTTGAACCCAGGAGGCAGAAGTTGCAGTGAGCCAAGCTGGCACCACTGTAATCCGACCAGGGTGACAAGAGTGAAACTCCGTTTCAAAAAAAAAAAAAAGTGTTCAATCGGACATGTTCTCATGCCTATAATCCCAGTGCTTTGGGAGGCCTTGGTGGGAAGGTTGCATGAAGCTAGGAGTTTGAGACTAGCCTGGACAACATAGCAAGACCCCTCTTTACAAAAAATTAAAAATGTTCCAGGCGTGCTCATACGTCCCTGTAGTCTCCTCTCCTCTGAAGGCTGAGGCAAGAGGATCCCTTGAGCCAGGAGTTCAAGGCTGCAGTGAGCCATGATTATACCACTGTACTCCAGCCTGGTGACAGAGCAAGACCCCTGTCTCTAAAAAGAAAAAAAAAATTTTTTTTTTAAATTTTTTGAGTCTTAAATCTTTTCATACTTAATTTTTGAAATCCACTGTGAATGTTATACTTACAGTACTTCTCAGTTCAGACTAGCCACACTTGTAGTCCCAGCACTTTGGGAGGCCTAGGTGGGAGAATTGCTTGAGGCCAGGAGTTCAAGACTACCCTGGCTAACATTAGGTGTTAGACTCAATCTCAATTTTAAAAATAAAACAAAAACAAAGGTTAACAGTCAGAATAAATGTCCTGCTCTTGCTATAAAGATCACTTTTAAATTTGTCAATGAACTAAGTACTGTGGGATTATAAAGAAATACCAACCGTAGTTCTTGGCCTCTAGGAATTTATAACCTAGGAATGGAAAGTGTACTCCAAGGAATGGTCCCGTCAGAGGTACTGTTTAGAAAAATAGTGTCATTAATAAGTAATTTCAGGAAATACCGATGTATCCTTTTTTAAAATTTTTGGTAAAATACACGTAAAATTTACCACCTGTTTTAGTCCATTTGCGTTGCTATAAAGGAATACCTGAGACTGAGTAATTTATAAATAAAAGGATTATTTTGGTTTACAGATCTGCAGGCTGTACAGGATGTGGGGTGCCTGCTTCTGGTGAGAGCCTCAGGAAGCTTACAATCATTTCTGAAAGCACAGTGCAAGCAGGTGCATCACATGACAAGAGAGGGGGAGTGCCATGCCACACCCCTCCCCTTACCTCTCCTCCCCTCCCTTTCCACTTTTGCAACAAAGTGAGACACCTGTTGGGGTCGGGCACGTCTGCTGGGGGACTACCGACCTGCAGGAGTCCCCAAGACCGCCAATGTAGATGTCTTGTTCAACCTGAGGGAGAGTGCGCGGAAGTGAAAGAAAATAGTTAAGCGGAGTCTGGAGGTCTGCGTAACCTATGGTCAAAATGCAGCAAGTTTATTCTTGTGGGTTACAGCTTTTATGCCTTTTTTCTTGTTACATTTACTTTATCTCAGCAGAAAAGGGGTAAACAGAAAGGAAATAGAAACTCCATAAAAATAGTTATCAGGGGCTTGTGATAAGCTCACAAAGCAGTTTAAGGGGGCTTGTGATAATAGTTTACAAAGCAGTTTATGTTTTTCAAAGATACACAGTGCAAGCAAACAATGGTGCCCTTAAGGTGGCTTGTTAATCCTGTTTTCCATCAGGAGGTAGAACAAAAAGGCTTAGCTCCAGGGAAAATATGGGCAGGGGTCTCTTGTCCTTCTTAGGCATTTCAATTGCAGCAAGTTTATTGCTTACACAGAGACTGATGGGGACATGAAAGCAGACAGCACAATGTCCTCATAAACTGCAGACCTTTGCTTTGCATTCTGTTTTTGCTTCAGTGACTCAGCCCGCGACCTTTGTCTCAGCTCGACAGCCCTCGAGATGAGGGAGTGCAGATAAGTCCAGCAGCCAAGATGGGGCGAATCACACAGCTGTCTCAAGCCCTTGGCGCAAACACCGCACAGACACCCCCACCCCAGGTCCCATCTCTACAAAAAAAAAAAAAAAAAAAATCTAAAAATTAACCAGGTGTGTTGGTATGTGCCTGTGGTCCCAGCTGCACAGGAGGCTGAGGTGAGAGGAACTCTTGTGCCCGGGAGGTCAAGGCTGCAGTGAGCTATGATCATGCCACTGCAGTCCAGTTGTGCAACAGAGTGAGACCCTGTCTCAAAGTGTGTGGGGGGAAGTAATCTGAATGTCCAACCATGGAAGAATTAGTAAAAGAAATCACGGTAACTCCATGTGGAGCCCTGTGTTACTGTAAGTCACATCTCAAAAATGATTTACTAACAGGAGCGTGTCATTAAATGATGTGCACAACCATAAAAAGTTAGAAATTTCAATCATATTTATGTTTAAAAACATCTACAGGCCGGGCGCGGTGGCTCAAGCCTGTAATCCCAGCACTTTGGGAGGCCAAGGCGGGTGGATCACGAGGTCAACAGATCGAGACCATCCTGGTCAACATGGTGAAACCCCGTCTCTACTAAAAATACAGAAAATTAGCTGGGCACGGTGGTGCGTGCCTGTAATCCCAGCTACTCAGGAGGCTGAGGCAGGAGAATTGCCTGAACCCAGAAGGCGGAGGCTGCGGTGAGCCGAGGACGCGCCATTGCACTCCAGCCTGGGTAACAAGAGCGAAACTCTGTCTCAAAAAAAAAAAAAAAAAATCTACATAGCACTTTGTTTCTCTGAACTCATCTTTTTATGTCGAGATACAATGAAAGTCAAAATACGACAGTCTGCAATTTTGCCATGTGAATTGGTGTTAAAATCTGATAGGTAAAAACTATAGAGACAGACTGTATTAGGTAAATGGCACAAAAGACATAAATAGGCTATTCACAGAAAAATAAATGGCAATAAACATTAAAGGATGCTTAAAAGCACTTTGAGTCTGGCTAATGCAAGTTAAAACCATGAGATACTATGTTTTGCTTGTCAGAGTGTAAAAATTAAGGTAATATGCATATTGATGAGCAATGAGGGAACAACATATTCATTACTGTTGGAAAATAATCTGGCAGATCTGTGCAGTGGCTCACACCTGTAATCCCAGTACTTTGGGAGGCAGAGGTGGGCAGATCACCGGAAATCAGGAGCTCAAGATCAGCCTGGCCAGCATAGTGAAATCCCATCTCTACTAAAAATGCAAAAATTAGCCAGGCATGGTGGTGGTGGCGCCTGTAGTCCCAGCTGTCGGGAGACTGAGGCAAGAGAATCATTTGAGCCCAGGAGGCAGAGGCTGCAGTGAGCCAAGACTGCACCACTGCACTCCAGCCTTGGGCAACAAGGAGACGCTGTATCAAAAAACAACAACAAAAAACTTTAAAATATATACTCTTATACCCAGCTATCTAGTTTTGTCAATTGATCATCTACAAATAAAAACATCTTTGTGATGGTGAAAAAGAAAAAAATCCGGAAATAACACATATTTCAAGAAATAGTTTGATAAATTCTAATATATGGGGAATACCACACAGCTATTGAAAGAGATCTATATACATTGGGTTGGAGGCTGGGCATCATGGCACGCCTTGTCTTTTTGGGTTATTTAAGCCCAGGAGTTTGAGTTCAGCCTGGCAAATTACAGAGACTGCCATTTCTAAAAAAATTAAAAGTAAATGAATTGAGCTAGAGAAATGACTGATACATTGGGGAAAAAAATGAGAATGCCAAGTAATGTGTATAATATGATTGCATTTTTGTAATTGAATAAAAGGCAAGAAAAACACCCCTTAAAAAAATTGTATACCTGTGTATATCTGAGTAAGCCTGGGATGGCGTGGGATGATATTCAGCACTGAAGGAGAAGTAGGTAGGAAATTGTACTTCCATACTCCTTTATATATGTAAATCGAATGTTCTTATTTTTATAATTAACAGTAAGATGACTCAGAGATAGGATTTAAGGAATCAGCATACAGTTAGTGAAATAATGAACTGAAGTAAGTGTTCATATTGTAGAGGAAATGAATGTGGCATAAACTCACAGCAAAGAGAACTATTTTATAAAATTAATTTATAATTTCAGCAGTGGTGAATGGATCACCAATTTCAAGAGAAAGGATGAATATGTTTTCTCTGCCATGGAAGATAGTCAAGATTTAGTTCTATGTAGATCCTCTGAGCTACTGATTGATTAAGAATGGAACACTAGGCCGGGCGCGCTGGCTCACACCTATAATCCAGGCACTTTGGGAGGCCGAGGCGGGTGGATCACGAGGTCAAGAGATCGAGACCATCCTGGTCAACGAGGTGAAACCCCGTCTCTACTAAAAATACAAAAATTAGCTGGGCATGGTGGTGCGCACCTGTAGTCCCAGCTACTCGGGAGGCTGAGGCAGGAGAATTGCCTGAACCCAGGAGGTGGAGGTTGCGGTGAGCCGAGATCGCGCCACTGCACTCCAGCCTGGGTAACAACAGCAAAACTCCGTCTCAAAAAAAAAGAATGGAACACTAAACAAAAACTGTAGTTTTTACTTGGCCATCATAGAGTTCCAGAACTTCGTAGCGTACTGTTCCTCAGTGAACAGAGACGATTTACGTTTCTTTGCACCTGTTTGTTTTATATGGAGAACGGGCTGTTCCTCTGGCCTTGGGTCGCCATATTTGCGTTCCTTCGGGGCATCATCCCCTCCTGGGAACTACTCATGTACTAGATTCCAAACTGAAGCTCAATTGCAGAAATTCTACACAATTTGTGCTTTCCCTCTTTAAAGGAGAACTGTGTGAACAAACATTTCCCAAATCCTCAATCTATGGAAGACAGGATAAGAAAGGCTCTCTCCTTCCCAGTCTGCCCCGTTTTTCCTGTATATGAGAGAAGCCTTGCCAATGAGATCCATGTGATAGAGGCCTTCAGAGCACTCACCTTTACAGGCATTTTGGAATGATTCAACAAAATCTGTCACTTAGCAGCCTTGGGGAAAAAAGTACTGATTTCTTTTTAATCACTAAACTTTGTTTTAGTGGTACGGTAATTATTTTTATTCTTTTGTAGCCTATTCCTCACCACCACCACTATTTCAATGAACAAAAGCAGTGTTACTTAAACTTAGCTAACTGACCTTCAGGGACTCTATCATTGAATTCCTCTTTGGTCTTTGCCAGGGCTTTATTTTGCTTCCCATGGCATTAGTTTGCCAACTCTGGTTATTTTGGGCTTTCTCTGATAACCCTTGCTGTTCTGTACACTCCCTGAGGTCTAGGACAGCATCTTACCTACCTTTGGATCCTCTACCCTTGCTCCATTTGCTTGCCATTTTCACTTATCCTTCAAAGTCCTTTTTGGGTGACACCTGCCATGTCTGAGGAGCCTTCCCTGGCAGCCCCGACTTTCTTCCTCTGATCCACTTCTATGCCTTCACTAATGTTTGTCATGTCCTATCTGCTGATTTGTCTGTCTTTAGGAATGTATGTTAGCTACTAAAACATTCCTATTCTAGGTACTGGAGATGTATCAGTGAGTACAACTGACAAAAACCCTGCACACAAAGGAAATTCTATTTTAGTGGAGCAAATCAAACACTAAACAAAATAGGAAAGAAAATAAATACATAGTATGTTAGATGGCGATAATTGCTATAAAGGAAAATGAAGATGGAAGACAGAGTATTGGTGCAGGAGAACTTAAAATCACCCCCCACTCCACCCCAAGATGTGTATACCTATGAGTTCTTTTTATAAGAAGTTCAGTTTTAAATGTCATCTGGAAAGATGTCACTGAAACAGTGACGTTTTAATAAAGACCTGAGAAAGTCATGGATATCGAAGGGGAAGAGTGTTCCAGAAAGGGGAACATAAGTGTAAGCGCCTTACACATTCCGCTGCTGTGCTTCTCAGTGTCTGGGGGCTCCGTTAGAGAGGGTTTAAGCCGAAGAGTGACATAATTTGACTTCTAGAGCTGCTCTTTGACTTATGATGGGGTCACATTGGGATAAGCCAATCATAAATTGAGATTTTTTTTTTTTTTTTTTTTTTTGAGACGGAGTTTCGCTCTTGTTACCCAGGCTGGAGTGCAATGGCGCGATCTCGGCTCACCGCAACCTCTGCCTCCTGGGTTCAGGCAATTCTCCTGCCTCAGCCTCCTGAGTAGCTGGGATTACAGGCACGCGCCACCATGCCCAGCTAATTTTTTGTATTTTTAGTAGAGACGGGGTTTCACCTTGTTGACCAGGATGGTCTCGATCTCTCGACCTCGTGATCCACCCGCCTCGGCCTCCCAAAGTGCTGGGATTACAGGCGTGAGCCACCGCACCAGGCCAAATTGAGATATTTTCAACTTAACAATAGGTTTATCCCTCAGGATCCTGGCACTGGAACATATCTGGACAGTTCTGTGTTGTTAGGCCATGGCAGGAAAATTTTTGACCCTTTGACATCATAAAAGCTTCCATACTCATCTTGACTAAGACACCTAAGCAATCAGGACCTAGATGTTTGTAGCAGTCTAGCTATGGGAGGGCAGGCTGTTCTGCATAATTGTCATATCCGAGACATCCTAGTTAAACTTAGACTAGCTGTTTCTCATCTGTAAAATGGAGACAACAGTATTCCTTTCAAACATTGGCAGCGCTGAGACAGCACATGCCAAATTGCTCAGCATGGTCTCTAACATGGAGTTAGCTATGTTGATGTAGCTTAATAAACAAGTGTGCACCCTACAGCCCATCTTTACCAAGGCCAAGATGTTTTTTCACGAGGTTCTCTCCCTGCTCCCCTTCTTCATCAGAAACAAGTTCTGCATTGGCCTCTTCCCAAACAAGACTACTCATTAGCTCTGAGAGGGTGGAGAGAACTATTTTCATCATTTTCTTCTGCTGGTTTAATTCTCTTATTTGACTTGTGGAGACAAGAATTGAGAACATACAAAGGCATTTATCTTCCTTTATCAGGCTGCCCAGTACAGAATTCTCTCTATTCCAATGTAAATTTTTAAACAATTTTCTTACTATGTCCTTTGGCCTTTCAAATTGGAAGGAAAAAAAAATCCAAACCAATATTCTGTACTAGAAAAATCTAACAGTGACATTCGTCTTACCTTCTGTCATCTCAGCCAAAGTTAGGTAATAAAATGGAACTTTAAGAACTAAGCTTTACTGAACAAACTTCCTGAAAATCCACTAAAACTGAGGCGCAGTGGCTCATGCCTGTAATCCCAGCATTTTGGGAGTTCAAGACCTACCCGGCCAACTTGGCAAAACTCCATCTCTACTAAAACTACAAAAATTTAGCTGGGTGCAGTGGTACACAGCTACTCCAGAGGCTGAGGCAGAAAAATTACTTGAACCTGGGAGACAGAGGTGAGCTGAGATCATGCCACTGCACTCCAGCCTGGGTGACAGAGCAAGACTCTGCCTCAAAAAATACATATATACAATAAAACTACCTTTGATGTCTACAGGGTGCTCATATTTAGTTCTATTTCTTAAACTGCCTGGGTTTTTTCCTTATCTTCACCTGGCTAACTCCTGCCTCTTCTTCAAGACTCGGATGTCATTCTCCAGGTAGCCTTTCCTAATGTCTTTTCCCAGGAAACATACACTTTTTTAAAATTAGATATCTTTACTCCAGAAAACCTGCATTTATTCTGTCTACAGAAATGTCTTCTACTGCAATTTCTGTACTTGTCTCTTCCTTTAGGCTGAACCCACTAAGAAAGGAGCAGGGATTGAACTTCATTCATTTTTTACATTGCCAATGCCTGATATAAAGAATCACATAAATGTCTGAATGGGGTGAGTTTATACCTTATTCCTGTTTGGTGTGTATTATTAGTTTATGAGGACATCTTGTGGCTAGATCATTTATTGCTATAAAAAGATGATCCTGGGTCAGGTGTGGTGGCCCACGCCTATAATCCCAGCACTTTGGGAGGCTGAGGCGGGCCAGTCATCCAAGGTCAGGAGTTTAAGACCAGCCTGAGCAACATGGTGTAACCTCATCTCTTAAAAATACAAAAATTAGCTGGGTGTGGTGGCATGCTCCTGTAATCCCAGCTACCTGGGAGGCTAAGGCAGATCACTTGAACCTGGGAGGCGGAGGTTGCAGTGTGCCTAGATTGCACCACTGCACTCCAGCCAGGACAACAGAGTGAGTCTGTCTCAAAAGACAAAACAAAACAGAATATCGTATTCTAACATTTATTTTTGACATTGATTTACCTGTTGTGCAAAACATGACGTAATATTTTTTAGGATGTTTTATGTTGCATGGTTCTGCTTTCCTTCAGGGCCTTCGGCAACACAACCATTAAATAGGTAGTTTGTGAAACTCTCAACTGTCTTTGTGGTAGGAGCCATAAGGGCCACTACATACCTAGAGGTTACTTATATATAGTGATTGACTAGGGAGATATGAAGGTGGGAAGACCGAGATCTGAATCTCAGTTTCTATCACATCTTGGGTGACCTTTGAAAATAAATCACTCTGAATTAAAGTTCTCTGCAAAATGGAAGTTGTCTTTTCCTTACTATATAGTGTATGTAAAGTGCTTGGCACAGTGCATAGCACACCAGAGTGCCCAACAAATGGTACTCAGTTAGAATCTAACCAGCCATTTAGTGCTGAGATATCCCTCCTGCTCCCAGATACAGCGGAGACACCAAATCTTCACCCATGTTCTTCTCAACACCTCTAGTGAAGGTTCACAGCTACTGTTGCTGGACGCGGCACATCCATTCACAGCTCAGCTCTAACTTCTAAATATTATACATGTTGGTTTTTCCTAGTCACTTAAATATGTAGGAAAACTTACCTTTCTGTAAGTGGCCTTTTTAAAGATGTTTGATATAAAAATCATGAAATTTTGTGTGCACTGTTACATGTATCTTTCACGTAATACTTTTTCATTATACTTTCTATAAATGGGACACCTTAAAAGCAGTAACTTACTTTGCTGGATTGTACTGTTACACTTTACACTAATGGGTTTATAAAAGTTTCTTTTAAATTCTAATAACTCAGTGAATTTGTCTTTGAACTGTTCAAGTCACTTAAAATATTAATGTTATTCTGCTTGTACAAAACTAGGAAACAACAAATTGAACCTATGAGTTAATAGATCTCAGCTGGGTGGCCTTGTTGATGTCAAATGCCCAAGGAGACATCCAAAACTGCCGGGCGTCGTACATATGACTGGAAATCTCAGACCAAATGTTTGGTTTCTTCAGAGGAGTAGAGATCAGTAAAAACTACTATTTTTTCAATAAACACGCCTTTTTCTTTCAAAATAACTTGCATAAGGATTAACTTCTATCAGAGAGATTGGCAATTTATTTGAATTTCTGTCAGCCTTTTTTGGAAGATTCGATTCAATCCAGTGATTGCTCTTCGTGGGCTCTTTGGGCTTTTCTAATTCCACAGAATGAATGTTCAGAATTCTTTCTTTCACACTTAGGTGACTCTTGTCTCTGCTGCTCCAGGGAAAGTGATTTTTGAAATGAAAGTAGAAGAAGAGCATACCAATAAACTAGGCACTCTCCATGGCGGTTTGACAGCCACATTAATAGACAGTATCTCAACCTTTGCTCTGCTCTGCACGGAAAGGGGAGCACCTGGAGTCAGTGTCGATCTGAACGTAACGTATGTATCCAAACTGTATCCCACATAGCTTCAGTGTGATGGCTGTATAAACAACTGCGACTAAACACATTTAAAATGTTAATATCACATGAGATTCGATTAGCTGCTTATCTCCTTAAGTGCAGCTATAGATTTTGCCCTAAAATACTCCAGGGCCTGAAAATCTACAACTAGAGCAGTAATTTCCAGTGCAGTGTGTATCAGTAGTAAAGGGGGATGATCCCAAACGTTCAAGTGCAGCGGCATGATCTTGGCTCACTTCAGCCTGCACCTGCAGGGCCCAAGCAGTCCTGTTCTGCCGCAGCCTCCCTAGTAGCTGGAATTACAGGTATGTGCCACCATGCCCGGCTCATTTTTGTATTTTTAGTAGAGATGGGGTTTCACCATGCTGGCCAGGCTGGGCTCAAACTCCTGACCTCAGGTGTCCGCGCCCAACTCAGCCTCCCAAAGTGTTGGGTTTTAAGAATGGGCAGCAATCCTGGATCCCTCCCTGTGGCTACACAGACATGCTCTGAGTACATGATCAGGGAGCAGTGCCCTTCACTGCAGGGCCAAACTTCCAGAATGTAAAAAACTCAGTTCCAATATAAACTGGTACTGTGGCCCACCCCATTCAGTAAAGAGCTGGGTCCAAGGATTTACTTTCAGGACAGCTGCTTTTTCCACCTAAGCAACAGAAAAATGTAATTGAGAGGTTAGGTTGAGAGGGCCATTGTGACCAGATATTTCCAGGTAATGGAAATAATACAGGCTTTTAAGGGATCTAAATCTTTTATCAGTTTTACTTAAGAAACATTCAGTCCTTCTTTATGGAAATAACTTAAATTGAGGGTAAAGCAAATCACAAGATGCAGCCAAATGCCCTTTTTGAAATTAAGATGTGCAGGAAAGAAAGGCTCTGTATGTTACTGCTGAGCATATTCAACAGTCTTTATTTCATGTGGTAAGTGGTAAGACCAGTTGATGACTTGATTTTCCCTAAGTCTCTATTAAGAGCAGAGAGATCTTCAAATCTAGCACTGCATTTCAGGATCCACTAAGATACTGTTGCTTTAACAATCCTAAGGAACTAGTAAGTCAAACGTAGTCTTGTCCTTTCAAAGTATGTGTTGCCAAAAGCATTGGCTCTTGGTGAGCTACCTAAGCTTCAAAAATTGATTCACTTAAACAAAAACTAGGGCGTAGTCTCTCAAAAATTAGAGATATTTCAAAAGTAAATGAACAGTGTTTCAATAAATGAACGCCTCATGATTCACTCTGGTTTACTTGTTAAAACAAATGGTACATTTACTATACCCTTGCACATTAAGTTCTCTGTTACACAGACTGGGTTAAAAACAAGCTAGGTTCCAAAACAACGGGAAATTTCAGATTACTGACAAAATGCCAACTTCCAGATTGCCCAGATTTAATGTTTGCTCATATGTAGCACAAAGGGTTTCTTGTCTTCTCTTAGTTTTAAGTTAATGGCTGTTAGCCAAAATACTTGATTTCTAAGACAAAATTTGGGGAGATAATAAAAACTAGGCAAACTACTACTAAACATACCATTTTTCATTTCTTTGAATTGAGGTACATGAATTCAAGACAAGCCTGTCTTTCCAGCAATAAGGCCTGCCCTTTTTTTTTTTTTTTTTTTTTTTGAGATGGAATTTGCTCTTACGCAGGCTGGAGTGCAGTGGTGTGATCTTGGCTCACTGCAACCTCTGCCTCCAGGTTTCAGACGATTCTCCTGCCTCAGCCTCCCAAGTAGCTGGGATTACAGGTGTCCACCACCATGCCCTCTATTTTTAGTAGAGACAGGGTTTCAATATGTTGGCCAGACTGGTCTCGAACTTCTGACCTCAGGTGATCCGCGTGCCTCGGCCTCCCAAAGTGCTGGGATTACAGGTGTGAGCCACTGTGCCCAGCCACCTTTCTTATACCTCCTAGCCATAAACACTGAAGCCTTATTTTGAATTTGGCAAAAATACATATCCTTTTTAAAGTCTTCCTTCCAAAAAAGCAGAAACATAAAAATAAACTATAAGGAAATTATCTCCCTTTAAAATATTAACATGTGTTTTAAACAATCCTCATCTCCAAAATTTTTTTAATTAGCTAGAGTCAGCTGAGTTAAAGCAACTTATAATTACAAGTGGGTAGGATATAAATCTCTTAATATTTGTAGGCAATACATCGCCGAGACTGTAAGGACATTGTATCAATTCCTTATACTTGTTACCTTGTCATTTTAGAGTAGAATAAATTCTAAATATGGATAGGACAACATATAGACACCAGGTGATAATTTCACCTAAGAACTTAGGGAGAGTGAATAAAAGCTGGAGGAAATCTTTCATCAACCCCAAGTAAATATGAAGTGGGACACTTAAAGGGAGAAAAAGGGAGGCAAGAAAACTACTTCCATATATTTGGGAAAAGAAACTTGGGTGGGTAAGGAATGGGCAAGACTAGTACAGAAACTTACCAATACTACTGTTAAACTATTTGTAGGAGTAAAATAAGTGACATAGGAACACTGTTGTGAGATGCACACAACTTTCCCTCTGAGAAATTCTTTGCTGTTAACTGTATTCATTTCCTTTCAAGGTTCATGTCACCTGCAAAATTAGGAGAAGATGTAGTGATTACAGCACATGTTCTGAAGCAAGGAAAAACACTTGCATTTACCTCTGTGGATCTGACCAACAAGGCCACAGGAAAATTAATAGCACAAGGAAGACACACAAAACACCTGGGAAACTGAGAACAGCAGAATGACCTAAAGAAACCCAATAATGAATGACAAGTGCAAATTTGACTCAATTTTAATTCTTGAAATAAACTAGCAAAACCGTAAGTAGCTAGAAATATTCTTTTTAAGGAAAAGGACCTGGAAACCAAGTAGGGTAGAGTGAAGGTGGGGGTGTCTTACGTTTCTTTTTTTTTTTTTTTTTTTTTCATTTTAAGCATCGTTTTTAATCATGTGATAACTGGGTGAAAAATTCTTAGCTCAAAGTGTTTTGAAAACAGGTAAAGAAGCTAGCAGGGCCATTCTAAGATTAAAACCA